AGCTGGGCCGATTTGAAAATACCTCCAAAAATTGAGTTTTTTTATAAATGAAATTAGTTTTTCAAAATATCTTTTTTTCTTTCAAAAATCACCTCAGATAGAAGAGTTTAAGCTTAAAAGGTCTGAATAAAAATGTTAAAAAATTTTATCAATGGCATCAAAATAATAAGATTTTTTGAGGTACATACATATATATATGCTTTCAAATCGGTTCAGCTCGTGTAAATCTTCATATTTTTCCGAATTATTTTAGCGGAAGCCTTAACATATAATACATTTTATAATTCCGGTGGAAAACCCGCACATTTTTTTTTTTGGTGAGACACCTTAATGTACATAAAGTACTTATAGGGGCATCAATCAATTGTAGTTAGTATGCGCCGAAATTTTTACAGTTGCTTGTACGAGTATAGATTTGTGCATTTATGGAGCCGCGATAAATGTGCTCTGATTACTGATTGATCGTGAGCAAACGCATAGACAATCAACTTTAATAAAACACAATGCAGCATCGGAACAGTCAACAGCAGGCAACTTTTTGAATCAAATAATTCAATTTAAGCGACATTCATTTACTTTAAACATTCGAATGCATTTTGCAAAGGCTTTTGTTCGATGCCGGGCTGCAGTAGAGGGCGCTGCCATTTTCAATAGTGACAACTGAATTTTTTTTTTGCACAAAGGAAAGCCTGAAGTGCGGCAAAACAACGGCTTAATAAAGAGTGGAGAAGGAGCACTCGAATCTAATGTGTATGCATACATACATACATACAAAGGTATATGTATATGCATGTGCGTCAGTACTTACTAGACTCCTGCGCAATTCCATTTAAACGGCCCAACAAGACATCCGATCGCCGCGCAAATACTTTCCATCCCCTACTTTCATCGTTCGGGTCAATTGTGAGTAAGCATAAACCAGTTTCAGCAAGCGTACGTAAACTACCGATCAATAGCAACACGCGTAGAGTATTTACTTTGCCTTCCGCAACTACTGCGAGTAAAAGGTATTTGACAGTAGAGTACTCTACTGGTAGTACTTGAGTATTTTCGAAGAAAACATACATTTGTGGCAAGAATGATAGAAGAATTTTTTGGATCATGTACTTTCAACTAAAATGCTGATATACATACCTAAGTACATATGTATGTATGTGCATAGATACGTATGTGCATAGATACATACATATGTGCATAGATACGTATGTGCATAGATACGTATGTGCATAGATATGTATGTGCATAGATACGTACTATGTGCATAGATACGTATGTGCATAGATACGTATGTGCATAGATACGTATGTGCATAGATACGTATGTGCATAGATACATATATATGTAAGTGTCCGCATATATATTTTCTCGTCACTTGTTCTGTCGCTTCACTGCAGCAAAACCAAGTTGTGAGGAAAACCCTGACGATATGCGTAGAATTGAAACCATGGGTTCATATTAAATATATTTATGTATGCATGGACATATGTACATATGTTAAAATGTAGTTTCGATTTAAAAAAAATCGGATGAAGTTTTTCTTTCGCCATTCATACACCTCTAATTTCAGTATTTATTAAAAAAACTCAATGAAATTCAAAAACTCTATCTTGCATTTGGGTTTACTCAATACCAATTTGAGCTGTCGCAGTGTTATCAAAAAAAAAAGTTATCAATAGGTAGGTTCAGAAGGCGCAGCAGTTGAGCGCAACCGTTGCTAAACAAAAATCAGTGATCGTTATGCGTCTTTTGAACGACTTCATACATTAGCTGTCAAATTCAACTCTCAAAGGTGCACACCAACATGTTGTCTCAAATGATCAGAAAAATATTACGATCATCTAACATGCAACTATTCAGTTGATCAGAAGTACGCAACAACGCGTTCAGAAGGTGCAATCGCACCAGTTGCTGAGCTGTTTCGCCTTCTGAACGTGCCAAATGAAAATTCGTTTCTCTTGAAATCAAGTTATATGGCTGCGTATGTATGTACATATGTATGTACATATTCCGAAATTTTTTTTATTTGTAAAGGCTCTCAAGAAAAACTAAAAATTCATACAAAATTACGCACAATAAATGGAAAATAAATTTTCTTCTATAAAAAATTTCTTAAATCAGTATGCAGCTCTTAAGAAAAAAATGCTCGTACATCTCGTCGCTACCATGTCCAACTATCGAATGTGAAAATCGGCACTTTTCAAAATTTTGATTTGCCACTAATAATTTTATTTCGTATAGCAGCATTGCTTAAGTTATTGTTTTTGACAACTTATTTGTTGGTTAATGACTGCAAACAGTTTTATAGAAAATTAGAGACGAGAAATAATACTTTCATAAAAATTTAAGTACATACATAGATTTAAAAAGCTGCTTGAATACAAAAGTTTTATGAAAATGTCACATTAAACAACTGTCTAAATCTACGTTATTTTTTATAAATAAGGCCGTAAACATTTCCTTACATCGTCGATTTCCATATTCTATTTTTACTCTTTCAATTTCACTGACCAGCGCTGCAAACGATATCAACTAGTAGGCTAACAACCAGAATTGAAATTTAATACGCAAGTACTTACCGTACTACAAGTATACAGAGAGTAGATTTGCTACTCCCTTTTGGCAGCAGCAAATATCTCTCGTACGCGATGAGGGAAAGTAGAGTACGTACTTTGGTGGAGTAATAGCAAGTACGTCAAGTATTTACTCTCTCAACGCCAAGTAGTGTATGTATGCGGAAAAAAAGTAACAATGTGTTGGGAGTAGAGTACAATGCAAGGAGTACTTATTGAATGAAATGCGGCAAATACAATTGCGCTGGACTCTAGTACTTACTTAAGTGCAGGCGACGACCCTTGGCGACACAGCCCATTAATAAAAATTTACGTATTTCAAGCACTTCGCCTACAACAAAGTTCTTGCAGAAGGGCAGAAAACGGCGGCCCTCGCCAACGCAAATCGCCCGCCTTGCTGCTACTTGATTCAATTGCTGCCGCCGGTGCTGCTGGTCCTTGACTCGTGCTGCTATGTATTTCTGACAGATGTCCTTTGGCACAGTGAGCGCTGCTATTACCACCGCTTCCGTCTGCGGCATATGTCGCTAAATTACCATCTTGGCAATTTTTGGCGCAAAATACTACGTGATCAGCGTGTGCTGCATACTCATACATACAAACAAGTATCAGCCAATGCGCTAAAAGGTATCTGCGTTGTCGGGAAGTGTATGATGGTTACGTATGTATGCTTCATACAAAAATTATTGAGTTTGTGTGTTGTTGGCGTTCATAGGTATATATGTACATATGTATGTACACAAGTCTTGTCGTTTTCTTGTGATTCACATTGACGCATGGCTATTCATGCGCCTATCTGCTCTGTTCTTCATACATACATACATACATACATAGGTCTCCATACTCAAGTCCGAGATCCTTTCCGCCGTTCCATAGGCGTATTGTTTGTCTTTGTTGGAATTGTGTCACATTTTCTTATTATAGTTAAATCGGAGCAGCTGCTAGAAACAACAACAATTAAAATAGCAATAAGCCGCTCAATATTCCAGATTTGTGAATAAAGGACATAAAGTAAAACCTTTAAAAAAATTGCCAATGTATTTGTAAACGAATGGGAAGTTAAAAAAAATGCTTTTATATGAAACGCAAGCAGATACATATGTATATTCTTCATTACGGACGAGCTGGAAATCTTTATAAACTCTTTTTTGGTAATTAAATAAATTTAATTTCCACTTAGATTTCCAAAAGAGGTAGTGCAATTTTCGCTACCTGATTCTAAGCAGATAGGGACATTACTTTTTTATTGCTTGTTCAATAAAGCTGGCAAGCCTACATACATACATACATACATATGTAACTGATAAGTTTGTATTTTGTTTTCTTTTACTTGCAAGTGCACCAATTCTAAATACCGACTTTCCAAGTCGCCAGAAGCAGATAATAACATTCGACATCATAACGGCAGCTGTTAGCCGCTACTCACTTCAGTATTGCGAAATTCATTTGCCTTCAGATAACTTTGCAGGCCCGTAGATATGCCAGCTAGTGAGTGCTATGCCATTGCTTTACTAGGGGCATTCGTACTTGCTGGTAAGAAAAATTTCCATACGACACCACACGGGGTCCAGTTTCACATGTGGCCCATTGGCTGCTCTTACGCATAACTTAGTCATGGTTAGTGAGCACTTGTGCACCATTTACCAACAGAATATCAATACGTACAACGTGTATGTACATTAGGGTGGTGAACAAGAAAATATTCTTCTTATTTGGCGCTGTAACCGCCGAAGCGATTTTGGCCGAGTTCAACAAAGCGCGCCAGTCGTTTCTATTCTGTGCCAACTGACACCAATTGGAGATATTCGTGAAAATGGCATAGAGTTCCTGAAAATCAATATTTTCCGGTCGGAAAACTCTGTTTTTCTTCCGGAGGCTTCCAATAATACTACTCAATTGTTTACATTACCATTTTTTAATACATACTGACGATTTATGTTTGCATTTTTCGGGGTTTTTGAGAACCTATAAAAATCGATAGTATTAAAAAATGTTAATGTAAACTATTGGCTATTGGCTGAAGAGAAACAGAGTTTTCCGACCGCAAAATATTTATTTTCAAGAACTCTATGTCATTTCTTCGAATTTTCTTTTTGCCATATAAAATACATGGACAACTTTGAGCGACCTGTAAATATTTTTTGATTTAAAAAAAGAGGTGTCTACTTTTTCGGTATAGAACAATCCTATGTGAGAATCAAAATTCCGACTTAACTTTTTTTTTGGACCACCCTTATGTACATATGTATGTCTACAGTAGGAAACTACCCGCATAAAGTGCAACAAAGTGGAGGCAATTATAACTGTCCAAGTTAGCATAAAATTTAAATTTATCGAGAATTAGAATAAATTATCTTCAAACAGTACTACTGGCTCCCTCATGAACCCTATACCGTTTGAAATGTAGTATGTATATGAAAAGTCATTGGCTGTGTGAAAAATTATAAGTTTTACTATTTTATTTAGTTTTAAAATGCAAAAAATAACTGTAATCTTGTGTAGAAAACAGAACATTCAACAGAATTAACATCATTAACATTATAAACATTAAATTAAGTAAGCGTTTGTGTGTGACCACATCAAATTAGGCACCAGCGATCTCGCCGTCTGCCCCCTATTGGCTGGTTGTTAAAATTCTGTTTGAAAAGCTGAGACGTCGCTTCGTAGCATCCAATGCTCTTAAGTCAGTGTGTTCTTGTGCTTCTACGATCGGCAAGCACTCACCTTCAAGTATCGTGGTGTTCTCATCCAGCTCGCTGCAAGAGTTGTGTCCACTGTCAGGACTCGCATTTTCTATCGTTTTGGAGTTGGGCTCTGGGAGTTCCGGAGAAACTAGGGCTTCTGCTACTTCGTTGTTTTTATGTCGATTTGTTTTCGTACTTTTTCCGCCTGACTTCGATGTTTTTCTTTTCCGACGCACCGCACGTTGCCGACGCAAGTGGAAAAGACTGCTGTTTTGTTGTCGTTTCGAGCGGTGACCCCCTGCGATGGGTGAACGTACCTCTCGCTCATTAAAAAGTTGTGGCGTAGCCGCCATTTTAACAGGCAACGAACGCCTCCTTTTACGTATTGGCGCTTGATTTGGTTCCTCACTCCAAAACTCGCTCAAATCATTAGCGGGATCTTCCGCAGATCTATACGTGGGCGACATAACGGCGCGTTGATGATGATGGAATTGTTTCGCAAACTTAATAGGCTTCTTTTCCTTTCGTGTGCTCTCCAGAATAGCGTCTATCATACGTTCCAACGTTTGATCACCCATCCTGGAGGAACTCAGAGAAGCGGTGTCGTCTCGTACGCCATTCAACGATCGGCGCGTATTGCGCTGGCTTTGAAAGGTGGAATTTTCGGTACTGACTGCGTTTTGGGAACGTATTAGTGTATGATTGTACGAATGCTCCTCTGTTGGCAGATACCGCGGCTTGTCGAAATATGTGTCCGCAATCCCCAAGCCGCGTAACGCGAGTATGGGGCCGGGTACCGGGCCACATGGCGAGTATTCTACTTCGAGGGTGGGTAGCGTGGTAGCGTAGTTGGAGGGATTGTTGTGTGCTTTTCTACTGCTCACCAAGCTACGATTCGGTGTGTTGAGCTGGAAGGAAATTGGTTTTGGTGAAGTGTTGGGGCTGACGGTTTCATATGGAATGATATTGCTTAAGTCTTTGAGGCTATTTAGTCGACGTAATTGACGGCTACTTTCATGAACCTTGGTGGTAGAGTGAAGCGGAGTGGATGTTATTTGATTTAGGTCTTCAACCTGATTTTCCTTCTCCAGCCAGCTCTGCAAGCGACGCGAAAGGTAGAAATCTGAAGATTTACGTTTTAATCTTTGCCGTAAAGCAGAGGGTGTGCGTTTTTCATTGGAAGGGGTTTCCTGGGGTTCACTTAGTCTATCTGTAGAAACTGCGTCCACCGCTTTGAACTGCAAGTCGACAGTGTTCACTTTAGAGTCGGCTGGTTCTAAATACGAGAGCCGTGGCGCATTGACTGCCCACTTCAGCATGATGAGGAAAAGCGAGGTCAATTAACTGCAAAATACCAATTAATAAAAAGATTAATTAGTTAATAGAATATTAATTGATTTTTATCAGTTGAAATAAAAAATTACGGCATGTTTTGCTACAAAAAAAAAATATGCGCGCCACTCGGCCATTCGCCATTCGTCTCAAATTACTCTCGAGCCATAGGAGCCAAGTCGCATTGGCCGTCTTCTGTTTAATTTACCGCGTGCTTGTGGTAATTTGCAAATCTTTTGTGTTAGCTCGCTGTTATTCACAATGCTGGCAGCACGGCCAGCCAACTCAGCCAGCCGGAATTCCAGCTGCGCTATGAAAACGAATTCTGAATTGAATAAGCGCTGAGCCAAATATTAAGGCAATGGAGATCAGGTTTACAGATGATTGACTTCCTCGCGTTTCGCAAGGCAGCAGTCAGTCTGTCGGCGCATGCGTTGGTATGCGAAAAATCTGAGAATGTGCTGTTTCTTATGCTCTGTTTGGCTTTATGCGAAGGCATTAAAATTTGCGCGCATCAAAAACCGGTACAGATCGAAGAAACAGGAATATTTGAATAAAATTAAACGTGTTGCGCGCTGTGCGTTTGCAAATTTTTTCTGCAGCTCATGGTCCTTTTATTTTGTTGCTTTAACCCCCTGGCTCCTCGAATTTAGCAATGCGGCTGCTGCTGGTCTTTCGTCCTTAGAAACGCGCGCGCTATTTTCGTACGTTTTGTTCCATTTACGCGTAGAGTGGTCTTAAGTGGTACTTGAGTAGCGAATGCGGCTTTATTACAGTGCGCCGGCAAGTGGTTGTTCAGGCTGTGAGGTCGCGCATGCGCATTTGCAGTTTACCCGATTCAATTGGATTCACGTTGATCGATTTCAACTAAAGCTTTTTGGCGAATTTCACAGATTTTAAGTGCACTTAAATGGCATTTAAACAATTCAGAAGTAATTAGAATATGTTGAGTGCTTGTGCATGATTTCCTGCACAGAGTATGTACATACTTGCTAATGGCGGCAACTGGTTAGCAGGAATTTAATTTTATTACAGTTAAAAAGTTCATACACATGCATGGTGGAATTCACAAATCTAGGAAGAAAATAAATTTTCACAATTTTTTTCTTTTACCTTTAAAGCACTTTTATAAATAAATATCGTCTCATGGATCTGTTATGGCACAAATTTTTCTATTCTTATTTATTCTTCTTTTTTTTTGGTATGATTTGGAAACACGTCAAGGCGCGTTTTCAACTTTTTTTTTACTTTCAAAATAATACGTCCGTTCAGCACTGTGCACAAAACTTGAATGTCAGCTGGCGTGTTTGGCGCATAGCAGCACAGCTCCCGTTCTGATTACTTTAGTCACCACCTTTTCAGACACTTCTTGTCAAGAGAGCACAAAGGTATTCGCTTAACAGGAACCATGCATTTTTGTATACATAAATACATATAAGAACAATTTGTGTATTGAGCTGAGGGTTGAAAATGTAGAGTTGGGAACAAATGTTTGGAGAGCTGCTCGGTTAGTTAATTTCGGCTTATTGATAAGACTTGGAATGTGGGAACAGTTTGTTGATAAATTATACAAAGTTTTTATTTGAAATCGCTAGCAATGTCTCCATATGGAGAGATTAGTTTTAGGAGCTTTCCCCTGACTTGTTAGGGGTGAATTAGAAGTAATTTCAGGTGTTTCGCATTTTGTGTTTTAACAACTCCCAAGGGCGTCTTAAAAAATGCATAACAAATATTTAGGGTTGCTCAATTCCATGCGGCATCTAGTCAATTTGTGACGAACTTACAGATACAGATGTATTTATGTATATACAGTGGTATCTGGCTGGAGTGAACGCCCGATGCTACGAACACCTCGAAAGAGTGAACATGAAAATTTTTCTTATGAGCACTCTATAGAGTCAACAATTTTGAGTCTTTGTAGAGTGAACAAAATTTAAAACCAATTCATTCCAAATTCAAAACTGTAACGAAAAACTTAATAACAAAAAGGATAATCCCTTCGCCAGGCCGATCCCGTAAATCCCCGTATAAGGGGTAAGGTAACTCGGAGATTCGGCACTAGTGAAGTGGGAAGACTGTCTGAAGACTTGTAACTTCCCCTCTGGTGTGAGCAAGCTTTGGTCAACCGTGAGGTCATTGTCCAATCCGACGAAGCATGATGACAGAGTTGAAATATCTTTTGGCGACCACGCTTCGTCCGACCCGAGCGATGCGCGAGCTATTTTAGCCGACAGTTCATGCTGCATCCTCCGGCGGACAAAGCCAAACGAAGAGTGACCAGAAGGCTGCAGAAACTGCCAACACCAAGTGCGCCTCTTTTTTTCAGCAGCGACGAGGAAAGGATAGCCATCGGGAAGGCGAAAGTCTCCAAAGCAATTGAACCCGACGGAGTGGACTATCTAACCAAGGTCCTCAACCTGTCTATGGCCACTCTCATCGTACCAGACATCTTGAAAACGGGGAGAGTGGTTCCACTGCTTAAACCGGGGAAATCGTCCAACAAAGGAGTCTTCTCGCCCGATAGCTCTCCTTTCCTCGGTTGCGAAGGCACTAGAGACCCTTCTACTCCCGCACTACACAAATTACTCAACCCCAGCGAAGCATCAACATGGTTTCCGTAAAGTGCACAGCAAAACAACAGCACTTGACGCCATAAACAGCCAGATAACTGGTGGCCTTAACCGAAACCCCCCCTGTGAGAGTACTATTCAAGTAACGCTACTAGAAGACAAACGGTGGGCGGCGAATTACCTGAGTGGTCGAAACTCATCAGTGATCTTTAGAGATAAATCGAGCAAACCTTGGAAAATAAAACAGGGAGTTCAACAGAGTGGTGTCCTTTCCCACTACTGTTCTACTTTTACATTTCTAAGCTCCCTCAACCACCAGAGGTAGTCTCGATTGTCTCTTATGCTGACGATTGCTCAATAATGGTTATCTCGCCGAGCTTTCTCGCTTCACGGAGCCTAACCCTCTCCCCTACAAAATCCTCAGCAACGCTTTTCACCACTTGGACGAAGGAGGTCAGACTGCAACTGGGTAGTCTCGTCGAAGACGAACCAATTCCGACGTTGAATAATCCGTAGGTCCTCAGAGTAACCTTCGAAGGTCTGCTCTCCTTCTCGGCGCATGCAACCGCAATTGTCAATAAAGTACAAAGCCCCAACAAAGTCCTCAAGTCGCTAGCCGGCAGCACCTGCGGCAAACAAAGAAACGTTGTTGGCTACGTACAAGGCAATTGGCCGGCCGGTTCTGAACTATGCAGCGCCTGTGTGGTTACCAGGGACTAGTAGGACGCAGTGGATGAAGCTGCAGACCTGCCAAAACACGGCACTCAGACAGCGACAGGATTCCTTCTGATGTTGCCGCAACATCATCTGCGCGACGAGGCACATATGCTCCCGATTAAGGAGCAAAACACAATGCTCTGCAAGCAATTCCTAGTAGGGTGTTATCGTGTTAGCACCCAAACAGACATCTGATTGCGGAAGAACCCTCGCCACGGCAATCAGAAGGCATCTATATGAACTGACGGACGAAGTCCGGGGTTCATAAAACTATCTCTGAACCCAACAACTTACCGACAGGCCTTGAACGAAATGCAAAGAGAGCCAGTCCCGAGTTATATAGACTCTCGACCTGTAAATGCCGTTCTGGGCACGCAACCACCTGACGTGGACGGGACAGAGCTTCGTCTGCCTCGGGAGACTCGGATTACATAGCCCAACTTCGTTTGGGCTACTGCAGCAGGTTGAACTTATACCTGAACAGAATAAATGCAGATGTGCCAAATGAATTCCCGTCATTCGGAGAGACGCTCCATGACGCTCTCTTCGCATTCCCACTGAACCCCACCCTGCTAATGTGTCTGGCCTTATGGACAGAGCCCATCGAGGCTTCGCGCTTCCTGGGTCCACCGCTATAGAGCTTGACGACAACGATACAACAACAACAGGAAACATGTGTTGGCATTAGCTGTGGGAAAAGACGACACTTCAGAGTTCTTAAAAATTTAACTTTAAAAGACGCACTGCGCAACAAAATTGGTTTTAAAGAACAAAAAACTCAATCGGGATATAGTGAATAATCTATGAACTGGTCTTGCATTAATTAGTTCACTCGACCCAGACAGCACTGTATTTGTACAATACCAAAAGATTTCTCTTGGAAGCAAATAATCATCTGCAATTTCCACGCATACTCTGCATCGATGGGGAACTACAATCACAATTGCTTAATATTAACCGAACGAACGAACATCTGCTCAATCGCTGCTCACAATTCATTAAATTTGATTTCATTGACATGGGACTCCTCGTCTGCGCATTCGTTGGACCTTCTTTTCTCACTTTCGCCTTCTTGCCATTCTACTTATTTGTCTTTGATTGCGGCAGCCATACATACATATGTACATACGTACGCTTAGCGTATGCTTTCTCCTGGCTGGCCACCTTTCCTTTCTTGCCGCTCTTTACCTTTCTTTGTGTAAACATTGCAGAATTCTTTCGCACATTACTTCACGTTTAATCATGTTCTTTTTTTTTTTCTTCTCGCTGCGGCTTTATCAAATCATGTCATTGTATGTGTTGTTGTTTTTTGTGTTGTGATAAATTGCCCAATTGTTATGAAATTTATTGGAAAGAGGCTTGAGAGCGCTCCAGTATGCGTCGAGGTAATATCGATGCCCTAATTTATCTTCTGCCACAAACAAAGATCTGGGTTTCTGCGGTGGCTGACCATCCTAGCAATGCGGAAAATTGTCACGTTCCTTAAGCGCCAAGGTGAGAAAGAAAATCACAAATAAAAAAGGCGAATTGTGCTGGCGGCAGCTGGTGGGAAAATTCGTTTTTTTTTTGTGGAAAATTGTAGACTAACATTCGCGAACTTTTTTACACAACCAAACTGTGTCAAATAAATATTCACCAAATGTACGATTTCATTCATTTAATTTATTATGAAGAAAAATGTTAAATACTTGCATCATTTAGTTAATTTCACATATGTTTAGTGCTCTTAGCCAAATACATATATGTACATACATACTTCTGGGATAATTTTAGATCTTGGCAAGTGACCCCACCGATTACTCGGAGCTCACTACTTGAAGCTGTTGTATTGTTTCCAAAAGAAATCAATGAAGAAATTTGTGATTGAACGAATTACAACACATGTAGCGAATTTAGTGAGCTGGCTCGAATATTCAGTGCGGCCAATAGCAAGAAACTTACTTATACCTATACATACATATGTGAGTACGCATTTGCTTGATTTTTTTATTTATTTTTTAATTAATTCTGAAGATTTAATGACGTAGAGACTGCTGAATGGAATGGTGTGTGTGTATTTTGGGTAGGGCTAATGTGTTATTAACTATCTGTATATTGTTTCTATGATTAGCTATCGATTTACTCATAGTAGCTTAAGTTATGCTTTGATTCGACGCGATTATGTGATTAGCGACGGCAGCAGCTTAATTAGAAAATGGCTGGAGCAACATGTTGAAAGAGGGAAAAACTGGAAATCTCATGAAATCCGATTAAAAGTATTTATGTATGTACATATGTACGTTTGACGAGCGCATGCAACCATTTTCCACTTAGCTTTCATTGCTAAATTAGTTTGCCGCTACACTTGCCGTTTAATTTATGTAAGTTAATAATAATCGAAAATTTAATTTTTATTTTGTATCTGCGTTCATAAGGATTCTAAATATTTCATTTAAATATCCATTTGGTTCTTCATTGGTTTGTTTGAATGTGTGTGTAATGTACATAAAACTATCAGTCTCACTTTCCTTGCCAATTTAACAAAATTTTTATTTATTTTTATTTTTTTATTTTTTTTTTTATCCAGTAACATACACAACTGGCGTGACATTTTGCTTCAATATGATAATTTACGGGTTTCGTTTTAATTTACTTTATTATTTCTGGTTAACTTATGGGGGCACTAATTCCACGTACATTTTGGAGCTGCACGCACACCTGCCCTTGCAGCAATGCTGTGGATATCTCCTCTTGGCGTTCGTTGCAAGTAAGTGTTTGATAAATTGGGCTTTGGTGCAAGTAGCACGTTTAGGTTCTTCTTTCTAGGCTTTCCCATCAATTATTGATTTAATTTAATCGTTTGCTTTTTAATTATACTTAGTACATATGTACACATACATACATACATATGGTATGGATAGATATCAATTCTATAGGAATATGTGCACTGATGCGTGTATAGTTTGACTATTGGTTAACTAACCGAAGCACACAAGCATGCACATACGTACGTACGCAAACATTTATCATTTAAGAACATTCAACAGAAAACAGATGCTTAAGTATGTATGCATACATATACATATGTCTGACTGTGTCTTTACATATACATGGTACGTACATATGTATGTAGTTTTTAAAAAGTCCAACTCTTTGCAATAAAAAAATCATCTTTTGAAATTCGAGTGCATCACAACAAATAACATTTCATACTCGCACATACATACATACATACATATGTAGTATGTATATATGTATGTACATCTATCGGTCAAATGAATTCGATTTGTATTTTCACTATTAAGTACATACTTGTTATTATACAAATTTTAATCGGGGACTTGTAGGACCATTCCATTCTCTATTAAGTATGTGTGTATGTGAGTGCAAATAATTCAATTTAAATATTCAACCATTTATAGCTATCGACTTTAAAATATTAACTAAATAACAACTAGGCAAAACTTAGCCTTCTAAATTTCATTTAAGCAGATACTATATGTTTTCGTTCCGATTTCGATTTCGATTTCGATTCATTGTGAGCCTTAGCCCCGGACTAACACATTCTAATCATATGCACATATGAAATACATACATACATACAAATGCCTTTATGGACATAAATTCATATACATATATTGGACTGATTAAAAGAAATCGTACTATTTTATTCAAAATGCCTTGTGAAACATTTTCAAGAGTGTGAAAAAAGATGTCTGTCAAAAATTCGGCCCTTAATACTAAGACTTAGAGGTCACTCATTGCGAATTTCTATTTTCCATTTCGATGACATAGGAACCATTTCTTTATTTTAATTTTGAAATTTTATACCTCGTTTTTAAGCCAACGTATCGGAGTGTATATGTAATGTATGTATATATTTTTTTAATTCTTATTTTAATTTTGTAATTTAATTTTTTTAATTTATCGTTAAATAAAAAATTAAAATTAGACTTTGTTGTGTTTGTTTTCCATTTTTCCTAATAAAATAATCGTGGAAGAAAGCTCAATAAAAAAATTAAAAAAAAAGTTAAATATAAAATTAGCAAGAAAAACTCTTTGATGTTTAGTAGCAAGTTTAACATTTTCCCGAAAATTGGAAAAAAACGCAAAATTTATCATAGCTTCGACCTGAACCTAGACCAAACCACAACCAACAACCACATGATCAAGGGAATTGCAGCGGAATAGCTGCGTATGATTGTAGTTGGCTTAGCATGTGAAATAGTGAAAATAAGCAATAAGAATTAACAAGGCGAACTTAGCACAGCGCGTAGGCAGCTGGCTGAGTCAGTGGGATCGTCGGTTCGAATCCTACTGAAAGAAGTCTGATGAGGAAATGTGGTGATTTCCGAAATAGCTATCACTTCTACCATTTTTTCAATTATTGTTGCTTTTCCACAATAAATTTGCATTAAAAAACGGCCTCGAGTTCAATAAAAATGTTTGAATATAATTGTTATAAGGCCATAAAATAACAACAAAAAAAAACCAAAAAAAGTAGTGAATTAATGTAAGAAATCATAACAAACTTTTTTTCTGCATTCAATTTCCTTCAATGTTGGCTTAAAACAAGGGGTAATGAAGAAGTTCCAAAAAGAGAAGTTAAAAAAATCGTGTGTTATTAAGATCGAAAATAGAAATTCACGATGAGCGATTACTAAATCTTAATATTAAAGGCTTTTGACAAGCACAAGGTATATCAAACAATCAAACAGGTAGTAGGATTAAAGCAAAAAAATATTTACGTGCATTTTGTTGTTGCTTCTGGTATCTAAAGTGTAAAAAAATTATATACTTTTTTAAATATCGTAGATTGCCATGTGAAATATGAACACAAATAAAAAGAAAATAAAAGTTGGCGCGACTTTTTTCTTCATAAATTTGTTTAATTCCAGAAGCGTCAATTCTTTCTTTGCAGTTCCCAATAATCGTAGTTTATGCTCCTGAGTTAAGCAAATGTTTCAAAGATTGGTTTTAAATGCTTTTTTTTTTAATTCACATGCAAACAAATTTTGCCTATTAAGAACTTTTGTAAAAAGAATTAACAATATTTGACAGTTTAGAGATCAAATAATTTGAAAAAATCAAAAACTGTATAAAAAGCTTTGGACAAGCGTCTTTTTTCATTGTCTCGAAAATATTTCACAAGGTATTTTTAAAACCAAAAACTATCGATTTGTTTGAACCAGTCGAATATACGTGCATACAGTGGCGCTCACGTAAATAGCACACTTTTATTTTTTTGATACAAAATTCACTGTTTTACGTGATACATTTTTCGTAAATTTCTTATAGAAGCATAGTAAATTCTATAAAATAAACCATATACTAAGTCAAAGTCTAAAGCTCTGTGCGCAATTCAGAAAAACTTAGAAAATTAAGAAAAAAGATGTTATACAAATTTTAAAACTTTTTTCAAAATTTTTAGAAACTTATTGGGTATGCAGTAGGGACCGAGAACAAAAGGTATGAACTAAACTTCAAAACCAAAACCAAAATGAGACCAAAACTGCCGAGAACGTTCTCAAAGGGAATTGTATAAGAATAAAAAAGCCCTGTGGAACGTTTCCAAAGAGAACAAAATAAATCTTCTCTGAACTATTCGCGAAGAATGAAAGCGAAAGCTCAATTTTTCACATAGTGTTCATTAGTTTGAAATGAAACGAAAGACTTAAGACACGAACTTTTCTTGCACAAAAAATGAAAAATTGTTCTATAAATAGACAGTTCGCCCTAATAATAAACGATCGGGAAGTTGAAATGAATCAGGCTTCCTCTGGCTTAGAATGAATAATCCTGGCTCTCACTGAAAAGATTTTTCATCCTAAACGCAGACTTGCATTTATTACCATTTATTACGTTAAGTTCTCAAAACGTTTGTTCTCGTTTTGTTTTCTAGCAAAACGTTCCCCAGACTTTTGTTCCGACTTGGTTCTCCTTGAAAACGTCCTCGATACTTTCGTTGTCATTCAGTTCTTCGTGAAAATGTTCCCGACAGTTTTGCTCGCATATAGAAATAGATTTTATTCAAAAGTTATTGGAAGAAATTCGCAAAACCTACGACAAAAGAAAACTTCTGAAAAATCAAAGAAATTTTTCAGTATTTCCAAACCTGCAATTTATGGTACTAAAATTGAATGTGCTACAGAACTGCATACTCAATAAGTTTCTAAAAAATTCTGAATAAAAAGTTGAACACTTTGATGATTTTTTTTTTGAAATTTTTTTTTAATTTTTGTGAATTGTGCATAAAGTTTTAGAATTTCACCTTCATCTACTGTTTACGGTATAGAATCGACTATATATTTTTATATAATTAACTGAAAAAGTACCACGCAAAACATTGTGAATATTGTAAAAAATAAAAGTGCGCTATTTATTTGAGCGCCAATATATAATCCAAATACTGCGTATGTACATATGTATGTATATCATATCATTTTCATAAGTATTACATACATATGTATATCAAAATCAATTTGTGGGTGTGTATGTGTAGCTACACAGTTCTATATCTAAAGCCTTACGGAATAATGTATCCTAGACTACGAGTACAATAGCTTATACGCTAAAGTTAAGACAAATAAATATGCATACTATTTCACACCGGTGTCCATACATATATATTTATATAAATACGTGTGTGTAACTTTGTGCATGTATCTGTATACTTGTGGTAAGTGTGATCAAATGTTATGGGTTTTATAAAAACCCTGCAGGAAAATACCTACTGCCCACTAACATTACTATGCAGTTCCGTTCCCAGTCCTAAGGGTTATGCAATAGAAGGTGAACTGATAGATACTCTCTGGAGCATACCTGTACATAATTTCGAATGTAAGCGTCTTTCCTGCAGGGAATGTGTTGCAGATTTACTAAGATTCAAGTGCTTAATGTTTGTTGATCGTTAACGAGTCTATTACAAATACGTGTGGAATTAAAAGAGTACAATCCAATAATTAAAACAAACATTTCAATGCTTATCCGTACATGTGTACATACATACATACATACATACATACATTTTTTTCACATACTTGTGTAGTATGTATGTATGTATGTACGACTTTTATAGTCAATAGATTACTTTTGTGTGATTTGCCTGGTTTTCTAATCTCAACTCCAATTAGTAAATTTACGGATTTTTCTTTGTTAATTCAGCTTTTCGCCCTGCAACTAAGCCGCCATTACTCATTAGCGTTTCTAAATTATTTTTGCGAATAAGTCCGACTTAGAATACTTCACTGCCTGTGTTGCAAGGTGTTCACATCCTAATACATACAAACATATATTTATCGCTTATTACTTATACATATCAATTACTAAGTACTAGCGACATCTATTGTCCTATATGTATTTTCTGTTACTGCCTCACATCAACGGTCGGTCGGTCATTCCTGTTCGCTTTTAAAAGTAGTCAGAATCGTTGCTTAATTGATTTCTATTCCTCTTTCTCATTCGCTTTGCGGTGCAGTATGTATGTGGATTTCTTTCAGAGTTGTTATAGCAACGTTTGCCAGTTGCCGGTGGCCAGCGGTAAGCGTGTTCCAAGTAACACTTGTGCTCCAGTGCGTCGAGCTTGTTTGTGCCTTTTATGCTTTACTCAAATGTCGATCTCTGTTTCCTGCCATTCCACCATTATTACTGGCTTATGTTAGAGTATCTCTGTCTCGTAAAGCTGCTTGGTAGTAGCGCCACCGCTACCCCCTACACTATTGCCACTCTTCTCGTTGCCACCGCCGCCACCGCCTGAGTTTCCCTTCACATCCGGAATGCCAGCGATGTTATTGACTAACTGCATTGTCTTATTATTCTTATCCGGTGCTGGTATGACATTGTCTTGCACTTCCGATTTCTCCCCTGCATTGGCGATGCTAAAACTAATCTTTTGCTGCAAGTTGGATTCGCTGCCAGTCTTCTGTAGTTGAGCGTTACTTTCAGCGGCGCCAATTTCAACTCCAGAAATCTTGGTCATCTGCTGCAAGCGTTGATATTGCTCCTGAAGGAGTTTTTGTTTTTTCAGCAACTCCTGGTGGCGCATTTCCAAAGCCACCTGCCGTTGGACATGATCGTTGGCTGATTCGTTGCCGCTGGAATTGCCACTGCCACTGCCACCACCGCTATCCGACTTGTTGCCCAAGACGTCAGATTCGCATACAGTTGGCAATTGTTGTGGCACATTGGGGTTGGTGGGACTGGCTAATGGACTGCGTGAGCTGGTGCGCGGTGGTGGCGGCGGCGGTATGCGTTTGTTGCTCACTTTTGTAATTAGTTCGGCGGTGCGTTCGGGAACTGGTGGCTTAGTTGTGGAGGCGCGTACATTCTGTGGTGGCGACATGTCCGTGTCTGAGCCGCTGGGGTAGGAATGGAGTCGACGAAGACTGCCAACATTAGTGTGCATCATCAGCGAGGCAGCAACTGCCGGATTGGCCAAGTTTGTATTAGCGATATTGTGGTTAAGCTTATGAGGCAAAGTATTAACCATACCAGTGACCATGGCAGGAATCGGTTGCGATTGTATTGGAATGGTGTTTGTGTCAGTAGTTTGGATGTATAGGCGTGCTTGGGATATTTGTGTGGTGACTGTGCTTTGTACAGCTTGTGAGCTTTCATCAGATGTCGAGTCGTCAGGGCGTGCCTAGTGAGGAGCGATTGACATTTGGGGACTGGATAAATCGAATACAAAGTATTAGCATGTTCGACTTACCTCATTATTCTGTGACAATGGCTTCGAGAATGTCTGCAGTTCGTCTAGCAGAGCATCGAGTGCGTTTTCGGGTCCCCCGCTGATAACGAACGACCCCATCCTGGGTGTTGGGACTGGCTAAAGTATTAAATATGCAATAATAATAGCAAAAATATATGTAGATATGTATGGTCGATAATGTAGCGATAGCGACAATATTAAAATGTACAGTCAACATACATTCAAAATGCGTAGCACTTATTTAGATAGTGGATATATGAATGCAAGAAAAGGGAACTCGCTGTCAAGGTAAGAAAAGCGTGTTGGTATACAAATCGAAAATATTATGTAAAAACCCACTAAACTAGGATGATATGTACATACATACATATGTGTGTTTGTTAGCATACGAGTGAATTGTATTTGCTCTTATAAGAAAGCCTTAATTTAAGTAAAATATTTTTTATATACAAAAGGTGTGTCTTTAGCTTCCCGGTATCTTTCTGCGGTATGAAGACTGAATATATAGATTCAAATAATTATATGCATATATACATATGTATGTATACATATCGTCGTCATCAGGCAGAACTAAAATGTTTCAATTTATTATGGAAAATACTGATTGATCCAATATTTTTTTTAAAAAGAGAAATAGTATTTAAAAAACTATTTTTTGAAGAATGCCATTTAAGGCCTCTTCGAATGGCGACGACAATACATATGTTCATACATTTGTACTTTATTGCGCATATGTAACACTATTAAATACCATAAAATAGATCGCTTCAATTCGAATATTTACAGCCCGCGACAAAAGACAGCATATCAATGATTTTACCAGTTTTGGTTACTTTTCATTTGCTTTTTTTAAAGTTCATTAATTTTTTATCAAAGCTCAGCACATTTTCTAACAAAAACCATATAAGTCCAAATTTCAAATTTTGTACAAGAATTTGATTGCACAAACTTTTCGTGCCAACTCCAATTATTTTAATTAGAATTTCTAAATTAATTTTTGGTATGCAGTTTTATAGCTTATTAAAATCTATTATATTAAAGTGACAGTTTGAAGTTGCTAAGAAATCGCATTGATTTTCCTTATGTTCAATTTTCTACAAATTTGTATGGTTTTGTTGTTCGTGTTTTTGTATTTTATATTAATTGTTAGACAATAATATACTTTACTTCTTTATCTTAAATTACAGTTGTACTAACAAAAGATCATTGGGATCTTATTGTGCTAATGTTATGTTTTATAATAATTAATAATTTAGATAACCAAAAAGTTGAATTAGCAACAATGTCTTTTTATAAAAAAAGTTTTTAAATAACCAAATGTTTATGTTGAGTTTTTGACGTAAAAATTTTAGATGACCAAAAAATTATGTCGAGGTTTTGGCTTACCAAAAAACATTTTATAAAAAGTTTTTAAATAATTAAATGTTTATGTCTAGTTTTAAATGTCCAAATTTTGGATGACCAAAAAGTTATGTCCAGTTTTTAAGTGGCAAAAAATTAATTTTGCAAAACTTTTAAATGACCAGAAATTTAAATTCATTTTTAAATTACCTAAAAATTTTGTCCACTGTTTTAATTAAGAAGGTTTATGTTCAGTTTTTAATTACAAAAAAAAAAAATTTGTTTTTTGATTTAAAAAATTTTGATATTTTTTCCTGACGGTTTTATGCACTATTTCCACATAAAGAATTACTTTGTATGGAAGAAAATGCGTGATACTGTCAGCAAAAATATTATCAAAAATCAACGCGATTTTTTAGCAACTTCAAACTTGCGTTTTAATGCACCAGAATTTAATAAGCTATAAAACTGAATAAAAATAGTGAACATTAAACGAACAAAAGATAAACAGTCAAAACTGTTCAAAATGTTGAGGTGCTATCGTTTCGTAGCAGACTGTATGTATTGGCATTTGTAATTGCGATGTACAGTACTATTTACTTACATACATATGTATATATTTATTTTTAAATAACTACCATATTTTGCAGAAATATTCACAAATACACATTACCTCTAAAAGCAATTGAATACTAATTCCAAAAACAAAACAATCAATTACCAAACTACTACAGCAATATGAAGCGTTTAAAGCAGAATTTAAACATGCAAGCCAATTAAAAATAATATAAAAGAAAACAATAAAAAAACAAAGAAATATTAATTGAAAAACTAAAGAAAACCTCACAGTACCAATTCAGGAATGGACTGCACGGAGGGTTACGAGTAATCGAAAAACAGAATATCAGGATATGTAGACGGGAGGGATTTCAAGTACGAGTATGTATTCACGAACAGCCTATACAGGTGACAATCGCCATTAAGTGATGGTCAACAAGTGAATGAATGAATGTCAAGTGTAGTTGGGACGTGCACCGTGCATCGGCTCATCATAAATATGTATGAAAAATTATAGCGATACCGATACACATATGTATGTATGTATGTATGAATCGATCGAAATTGGCCGACGTCCTAAGAATACTCCACCGATTGGCATTCAATATACATATATGTATGCAAAATGAAATTTCAATTAATGAATGTACATATGCGTGTATTATAATATTTGGTTAAACAGCTAACACTTAAACATTTGTATTGGAAATTCGCAAAACCACCCCAAAAACTTTGGGCTCAGTCATACAAATCGTTTTAACTACGCCCAATGGGCTAATTTCTTTGTAGAAGATGCTATATGAAATATACTTATTCTTCCCTGGTGGGGCAAATAGTACACTAAAGATCAATTGTTTCAGACGTGTGTGTGTAAAAAGTGGCATATGATCAGAAGAATTGCCGAAGATCCCTCTTATGTGGCGCGTAGTGGATCCTTTTCGTTAAAATCGTTACCTCTCTTTATATTTAGGATAGGGAATTGAGTATGTGTACTACCCATTACTTCGGCACAAATGGCCTATTCCACCCCACTTTATTGTGAAAACAGTCAAAACTCGTGTGGCTTATGTCAGTGAAGTTCCTTGAAAAGCGTTTAACCCATAACCGCCCACTGTGTCGTGGGTTTGTTAATATATTAAAAAAAAAATACGATACATTTTACAGCAATAAGGTCCCGACGTTAAAAAAAATATTCTGAGGTTGATCCATTTACCGGACCCATTTGTGTAAACTTATTAAACTCTCAAACCAAAATTATTTTCATACTATACATATTTCGTGAAAAAATATTTATTTTTCAAACACGATATTATGCAATAAATGTCAATAAGACACATACATACATACATTTGTACATATGCCACTCTTAGAGTACCCGCAGAGTGGACACTAAAAGCCGAGCCGAGCGTAAAGATGGTGAATGCGAGAAATAAGCTCTAAAACAGCTGCATAGAGTTGAAGGTGATTGGATCCGAGAGTAAAGCTAATCACCGCGATAGTACCCGTTCCAACTGATTTTCATATCTGCCTCGCGCTAAAACGGCATATTCATTATTCATTCACTTATATTAAGCAAAATTATGGATATTGATGAAAATCACAAAATTTTTTTCGTTTTACATTTATTGGATGAATACCAAACTCTTTATGCTTTAAAAGAGTATTCACTACGGAAATGTATGCAAAATAATCTTTATCTGACGAATTCATTTCTTTATATTACAATTGCGCAAAATTAAAGGACCCACGAATTTCAGCGTTGATTTTCGCATCCACTCTGCGGTACAAAATTCTGATCAGCGCCGATCGGAATCAGATCGTAAAGATCAGCTCGGCTTTCAGCGGCCACTCTGCGGTTGCTCTTAATTTTCATTTTGGCTTTTAATGGGTTAAAGTACCTCCTATCGCAAAGTTCAGGGCATTACTCATACATGCATACATTTTCCAGTTCGTAAAAATTTACACTTAACCTACGTTCCAAAAATTTTACTTCAAATCATAAAACTGCCATTAAAAAAGTGAAGGTGAAACTTTGATTTTACTGCAAACATTTTTTTGTGTGTTTCTTACGATTTCCGCAAGTTTGTAGTAATTTCGTGATTTTTTTCCTAGTTTTCCAGTATACGGTTATTTACATATTATGTTCATGAGATGTATGTAGTATGTAAATGGTTAAAGATACTTTTGGCAAATGGGCAAACATTTCCATCTTATTGTATGAATGACAGTTCTCATACACACATAGTATGTATTAAGTAGAAGTGGTTGGATGCAATGAGACAGAGAGAGAGAGAGAGAGAGGCTTTAATGACGAACCATGAATAATTTAAATTTTGATTACACTACAGTATGTGGTGATTACATATGATGATGTTCCATTAATGTGTCGTTAAAAGTAAGGAAATTATAACTAAGAAAAACACAAAGACAAAGAAAGTTACAAAATTTATAAAAAAATACTCGCTTTTGACATCAATTCGAAAAAGAAGCAACAAATGTATGTATTCGAATCGACGCGCCGTAAAAAAGGGTTAAACATGAAAAAAAGTGAAAAGAAAATTCATTTTTATGTAGAACAAATATCCAAAAGAGTAATCAAAAAAGTTACTGTGAAGCTAAACATACAGCCGAAATATATAATTTAAGATTTTGCACAAAGATGTAAAGTAGAAAAAGTAATGAAAGAAGAAGTATTGTACTCGAAAAGTATAAGTAAGTGGAAACTAAATATGAATGATTAACAAGCTTTTCGTTTAAAGAAAACATTATTTTACATTATTGTAACATCAACCTATTTATGCATGTATTTATTATTTAACATATTTAGTATATCAATTAGCTGTTTAAAATTTCCAGTTCAATTTCAATTTTAATGCCATAAGCATTTCAATTATATTATTGAGTTTAAATTGGTTTTTTTTCGGATTTTGTTATTGATTTCAATTTTTGATTGGATCGTTTAATTTAAAATTTGTCTCTGAATAGATAAGGATTGAGTAAGCTTAAAGGATCACTAGTGATAGAAAAATAGTCATACAAAAATTGTAATTGGTAATTGTAATGGATAGTAAAATGCGATTATTACTCAGTGATTGCCTCTTTGAAGTTAGAACTCCATCGCCAGTTAAACTGTGGTATACAAAGAAGAACAAGAAGAAAAGGAGACCACATTGGTATTGTTGTTGTTTTTTGTTTTTTTTTTTTGTTTTAAGTAAGTAATGATGTAACGACGATAAACGAACTTTTTTTGTTTTTGTTTTTTTTTCCATTTAGCAGATACAAGACAAAAACGTAAAGTTTTCTATAAGTGTTTTTCTCAAATATGTAGTTAATTTGATTTTTTACGATGTTTTTATTTTTTAATAGTACTTTTTGATTTTTGATTTGTTTGTGGATGCAGTCCAATTGATGTATATAGTATAACGCGATGCAGCAAAGACGGAAGAATGGGCGGCGACATACATACATACATACTAACTACATATGTATGCATGATCAAGGTATTTAAACAGAAATTCGAAAAAATGCGATAACTTCCAATCGTACATAGGAAAAATGTATGTAAGTATGTACATAGTATGTATGTTTGTACGAGTATTTACAATGGCATGAGTTGCTTTGCTGCTGGTGAATTTATGCACATGGGATAATTTGATCATTCGATGTTTTTATTGATATATATAATTTAGGCCAATTTGTAAATGAGTTTTCTAGTTTTTTTTTTGTTTTTTTTTTTTTTGTTAAAACAAATTTTTCAGTGTTAAAAATTTACTTTTTCTCTCGGTTGCAGTCAGCCGACGTCCACTCATCGCAATATTCAGCCACTTCGCACCGATTCGAAACTATTCGATTGGGACGCTGGCAGCAATTTCATTGTAACATCGAATTCGATTAGCGATTTTCATTGAATAAATATTTTATTTTTTTTGTATGCGAAAATAATAGAAAAAAGGTACGAGTATAAAAAGTCCAAAAAAGTGGATGTTTTGTAATGCAATGCTTGCATGTAAGTGTCTGTTAGGCGTGAAGTGAATCGGTGAAGCGTTTCTTGAAACAACAACAACTACATAATGAGTTAGGTAAGCACAGCAAACATCACTGGCGAATCGGTGCTTTGGAATTGATTTCAATTTCTAAGTATGTAGTTGCACACAATGCGAATCTCAATGTATGGCTTGGATGTACATATATATGTATGTTAAATGTACATACAACATATGTACATATGTACTTAAAAGTGCATGTGAAGGCCTTTCCGGCAAGGCTGCATAGCTTTTTGCTGAATTCAAAATTAGGATTTAGCGTAAAATATGGATTTAGCGCAGGTTGAAGGTAAGGCAGCAATTGCGTTTTTGTTCGAATTACAATTACGTACGTATGTATGTATGTGTAAATATGAATGTGGTGAGCAGAGCGTTAGTGCAATTCATGTATGCCAGCACTTTTTTTTTGAAGATCATTGCAATCAATTTGTGCGATGCCGGATCGATTTATTTGAAAGGAGTTGCAAAGAAAGCGATTTTAAACTTTTGAATGCCTACTGCGGTACATTATTTTCAAGCACATCTAGACTTTGTGTCGAGTCTGTATAAAAAATTTAATGCAACATTTTGGAACTAGTTATTTTCGCAATGCTTTAGAATATTTTGTTTATTTTCCAATACGGTTAGATTTAATAATAGCAGAGAATGTGGATTGAGGACCGTCCATTTCAGCGTTTGTGATGAGCAAATATGTACAAAAATTTTTCTCAATTCAAAACATAAAAACTTTAACTAAGTATAAGCAAACAGCCAATCGCAAACAAATTCAAAACAACTCAAAATCGTTTTATTTATTGCCATTCATAAGTAATATTGATTTTGTATTCAACCCAAACGTAATTAATTGTACTTTATTTACACACAAAACTAGATATTATAGTAGCATTTGGTAGTATTTTGGGAAACGTTTCAACTACTTTTTACTCAACGATTTCAAATATGTACCAAAAATGAAAGGAAAATCATTTTGCAATTTTTCAACACAAACCGATAGAAACAATAATGTTAAACAAATAAGGCGTAATAAAGTATGTGAACGCAATAAGTTTTGTAAACGTAAAACGAAAAAGAGAGATAATCAAATTCTAATCCGAATTTGAAGTCGGTTATAATGAATGCAATAGTAGTCAAATGGTAGTAGGCATTTATATACTAACTGGATATTTATGTAATTAAAATTATCATTTTCTTGATTGCGATATACGATATGTATGGAGGCAATGCTACCTAAGTAATTTTACTATGCAATTGTGATGTAAATTTCAATTGGAAATTGCTTGTGAAAGCTTCAAAATGTGAACTCACTTTGTCCGTGTTCGAGATTTCGGCGGAGCGTGGCGGCTCTTCGTTGATTTGCGGTTCGTTAGGGGGTAATCGTTGCTCTTGTACGCTGGCCAATCTGTGAAGATACATTCATAAATGAGAAAAGCCCTCTTCGGTAGTGCCAATAACGGAATGTTATACCTTTTCAGTGTGACCAAGGTGCCAGTCAGCTTCTTGCAGCGTCTTAGTGCCGACTCGAGCCTATCGGGTTCTTCCTTGAGAAATTTCTCCTCGCGAACAACGCGCTCCATCTCGCTGGATAGCATGCAGCGCAGCCCATTCGAGAGCGCGGGAAACTTCATTTTCAACTCAGCAACGGTTTTGCTGCAAGAAAAAATTGGTTATGATTTTTTTTTTGTTTTTTTTGCATAACTTTTATACCTCGCTCTGCTCAGCACCAAGGCCATATCCTCCACAGCCGTCATATTGACGCGCGTACGCCGGTTGATAACCTCGCCGCGCAACGTCTCTACGGAGGCCTCCAAATCGCTGAGGTCTTTCTCTAGCCTAATGACTTCCTGCTTGTAGAGTTCTTCTTCACGCGAGATACGTGTAGCATCCTGATCGCCCTGATGAGTGCCCCAGAAGGTGCCGCTGCTGGCCAGTAGTGTGGCTCGTATGCGCATGAAAGTGCCTTTTATGTCCTCGCGTACTGCGACCGCCTGTGCCTGTGACAGTCGACGCAGTGTACGCACCTCCATACGCAAGTCCTTGGCCTTCTTCTGTAGACCACGTAAATGATTGTACACCTCGGGGGCGAGTGCAATGTCAGCGCGATATGTTTGATGCGGCTGGGCCAGCACCAAGGGCTTGGGGGGTGGCGGTGGCTTAAGGCGGTCTCTCTCTGCTAAGGCGACAAACAAAATATAGAACAAGAAGAGAGGGGTCAATTCAGGTGTAGAGTGGTGTACATTTGTATGCTTGCTTTTTACGAAAACTTATTAGGCGTGATCTGTGTGTATGCTAAGCATTTTATTAGCTGCGTTTGAAGATCTGTGTGTGCGTGTTAAAGGATGTATTCACTTGTGTTTGTACACGGTTGTGTTCGTGATAGAAAGTGTGCAACAAGAAAAAGTGCATTCATACTTACCCTGCGACGATGTTCGAGGTAATGTCGATGATTTTATGGCTGGTTTTGTTGGTTTTGTATCGGCTTTTTATTTGAAATGGGTTGTAAAGCGTTCGGTCGTCGGCACCAGAAAGGTGGTGACAAGTTCGTTTGTTTGTGTGGAATAAGAAAGATTATTACAATATTTGCACCCGTTGTGGCTATGAAGATACATATGGATGTAAATATGTATGTATGTATGTATGTCACCCGAGAAACACGTGCAAACAATTTTCTTTATTGCTAACTAAGTAATATACTTATGTATATATGTAAGCATATAACTCTATGCATGCATTAATATTTTAAGCATTTGAAAATTGTCTCAGCCCGTAGTTTATTCATATGTACTATGTAAGTATGTACATATGTATGCATATTTGTACCCATGTATGCCCAGACAATTCACTTGTTAATATATCTATTGTATGTACATATGAGTAAAACAAAGTCCTAATTATATAGATACTTATGAAGTTTGGCATGCTTTTATAGTTGATTGATGATTACACAAACTAGCAAGGATATTCTATTACATACGTATGTTTGTTTGTATGTATGTACTTGCAGGTTTTAACTACAAAAGTGGATACAATGAACTGTAGGTTTTCCCACAACAACAAACAAGTAGAAAATCGGTATAGAGAATTACCAGCGTGTTGAGGACTATGAGATTTCGGTATTCCTTGTATGTCGTCGCTAAAGGATACTGACTTTTCGAACGACACTGATTTCTCTGAAAAACAAATGAATGGATGTTAAAAGAAAGCCCGGAACTGTGAGTACAAATAAAGCACAAGTATCTTTGTTTGAATTTATTACAAAAAATTAACAGTTCCAATATTTTTCGCTCAAATTTCTACGTTTTCCAATGTCTAAGAAGGAATGAGAATGTTTTCTTTTCGATTAGTTATTTTGCTAATTTCATGCATTAAAATTAAAAGAGTTCTAACAATAAACGAACTGTTTACATAATTATGTATTAGGAGTAGGGACGTAAACCGGTTTTGAACCAAATCGATTTTCAACAGGATTTACCGCTTTTTTCGACTGTTTAACTGAACCATTGACCGAGCAGACATATTCCACAAATACTTGATCCCAACCGAACAGCTTATTATAAAAGTTTAGTTTTTTAAATTTTTTCTTTTGTTAAATATGCTAATATTGTTTTACTGCATATAGCGTATGACGTAAATTATGTATACATAAATGTAGGCTTATTCAGTGTGTCCCAGAATAACTCCCACTGTTTTTACTTTGTTCCTATTCCTATGAAATTCAATAAAAAAATTTTTTTAAGTACGTCATGATTTTGCTGATTGAATTTCAAAGATAAAGATCATCACACGGTTTCCTAAGTAAAACACTATCAGCTGATTGCCAAAAAATGCTTACAGCTGAGATCACCTATTTTTTGGTATTTGCTCTTATCTTTTCAATTTATTCCATTTCTATTACAATTTATTCAAAATACACTAACACACTGAACCAAAACGCCAATACACTAACCAAAAATACTCCTACAGCCTGCCAGAACAAACGGTAAGAAGAAGAGTTTCGTTTGTTATGGAACTGTACGATGATAGGGATATCAAACTTTTAGCCTCATTGCGGAAGTCGTGTCGAATGCAAGTCATTTTTTCGAGAGTCGAATCGTATCGATAATTTCATGCCATTGCCATTGCCTAAAATTTCGACTCGACTAGTCTATTAAAACGGAAAAACTTGGCAGCACTGCATAATTTTCGACGATTTTCGTTGTTTACTTATTTCAGCTCGACAGCAGACAATGCCAATGTTGTCGGGTCGTACAATTTAGCCTACTACTACTACTACTAGTCGACTTCTGTGTATAAGGATATATGCTCAGGAAAATTGGCGTTAGTACAGGTCTAAATATTGAGGAAGTTAATGATCGGCTGAGACAGATTTGGGACGAAACGGACCAAGATATGTTGCGGGCCGTTCTTCACACGTTTGCATCAAACAATTAAAGAGAAAGGCGAAAGATTTGAACCAGCGAGTAACCTATCTCAACCAATAAAAAAAAAACACTAGTGACAGTTATTTTGGGTTACACTGTAGATATTTTTTTTTTGTTTGTAACTGAATAAAAATAACAATAATACGCATCGTTTTTTTTTTTTTTTTTTTTTAATTCCCAAACCGTTGAATCGAACCGAATCCCCGGCTGAAAGGCAAACTAAACCCGTATTGACGAAACAATACAAAGGTGCCAAAACGGTTTGAACCATTAAACCGAACCGACCAAATTTTTCATCCGGTTCACATCCCTGATAAGGAGCACTTGTACAACGCAAAAAAAATTTTGACTCCCGGCACTTCGGGAAATGATTTATTTAAATTTGATACATACCAAAACCACTTTAAACTTAGATTAAGTAAACTGGGTTTAAATTGTACAGCTGGCCGCTATTAGAAAAGTGATCAGAGTTGCGTACTAACACTCCGTAGAACCAAGGTTCTATCCCGGGTCCGAGCAACATCTAAAAATAGTAAAAGCTTTTTCAACCAGGGCTCGCCCATCGGCAGGCAATGACAAAGCTTTGAGTGTATTTTACAACGCTTTTTTTTTGCCTTGAAAATGCCTCTCTAGAAATCCATTTGCCGTTCGGAGGCGGCCATTGGAGGAAAAGGTCGGCCAAACACTTAGCAAAAGTGAAGCGACAAATATTTATTTTTATTTTAAAATTTAATTTAGAAATAAAAACAGAAACATTGAATTTATGTAATCTTGTAGAACTTTTTTTTTATTCCAGGGCCCTTAACGGATCTTTATAATAAAAATCATGATAAAAAAATAGGAAGGGATAACCGCTGAGAGGAATTTTTCAAATTCTTGACGTTTGCAATCAATTTAATTTTAAAACTTTACACACAAACTCACACACACATTCTCATTTTCAATCTCAAACAACAACGACTTTGAATAATTCCTTTTTTTTACTCTCAATTTTATACGATTTTAAAATGTTGGCAAACTTCAAAAAAAAAAATAATGGCGGACGCATTGAGAGAACGGTTTTTTTTACCTTACTATGCTTTTATACAAATTATAATTTAACCGGTAAAACTGGATTAATATTTTATTATTTTTATTTTTTCGATCATTACGTTATTTTCTGATTAAATTTTTTAGATAATAAAGAATTTAAAAAGGTCATAAAAAAAGTTAAAAATAAACGATTTTGCAAAATTAAAAATCTTGGTATTTAATGGTTAATTTCGGCCGCTGTTAATTGCGAATTCACAACCCATTACTTATCAGTTTTAATGGGACACATTTTTCGGGTTGTACAAGAACTCCTTTTGTATTTATATAATAAGTAAATGTTAATCAATTCTTAATCAATTCTTATAAATTCAATTATTCAATAAATTAATGAGCAATCAGATTTCGCATGCAGGAGCATAAAAATTTATATTTCTTGAGTTAGTATGTATCTATTGCGATGGAACTTACGACATGAGCTCTTCCCTAACTTGGGTGCTTTTTCTCTTATATACAAATCATTTCCCGACCCGTTAGCTATATGAAATTGTAATGTAAAAGATATAAGCCATTGAATATTAGAAAATTATTTATTAGAGGCTATTTGTAATGATGAATGATATTGCAATATGTATGGCGTATGATAGTCATTTGCGCGTTTGTGTGTGCGAGCACACCCTAACTGTTGCTAACATATTTCTCTAATATTGTACATACTAAGAAGCCTGCATATGTATGTATGTATGTACATTAATTTAAACACATATTTATGCACTTTTTTTATTTATACTTTATATTGCAATGAGTTGTTAAATGTGTCAAGGTAATATTTTTTTCTTTCTACATAAATTTATCTTGAATATCGACAATCAGTGTTTGGCCATCCATAACACATTTTTCTACACTAACCGCCTCCGGGCCTCTATAAACTATTGATTTGTCTTTAGATAATCAATTTTATACCTAACATCTCTCTCTATTGTACAAAGCTTAAGTTGAAAATAATGTCCAAAAATGTTTCCAAAGTGATTTTCGGTGTGCAAAATGTGCAAATCCAATTTACTTGTATGAGAAATTTTTTGTTGAACACACAAAAAAAATACAATTGGTTTGTTCACTTCTAAAACTAAATAGCAATTATTTGAATGACAAAAGATCGCACTATTGCCTTACGAATTTTTGTGGCTTTCGAATTTTTACTCGCACAAGAAATACAACAAAGTGATTAGTGAAAATGATGGTGATTATTGTGGGATATGGTGATGGTGATAGCGATAGTGATGGTGATTGTTATTGTTATTGTGATTTTGATTTTGATGGTGTCAACAATGTTCATGGAATTTCGATAGTTGCAAGTGCGTGCGTTCGATAACGTTGGGCAATTGGGTTAAGGGGATACAATATAGCAGCTTGATTCACATTACGTTTGTGGCAGCAGACAGACAAACAATGACGAAACTGAAATAGGCCTGCATATGTATATACATACATACCTTGGCACTGCGTAGGTACAACCAAATAGTTTTGATCCAGTGTCGGCACAGCGATTGGTGCAATTTGCGGATGTTGGTTTACGAGCGCTTTCTGTACTAGTCCAGTCAAATTGGCCAATTGACGCTCCATGTGTTCCACGCGGATGCGATGCAAGTCCTCAGGCCTATGTATATGGAAACAACAATGATAAATGCTATATTTATATGTATGTATGTATGTAAATATAAAAGTCTTCTATTTAATTTCGCTTAATACCACACAAAAATGATTTTCATCATTTAATAATAATAATAGATTGGCGCTTACACATATGTTAGTGCTTGGCCGAGCTTCTCCCCCAAATTGAGGCGTGCGTCTTGATGTTGTCGCACAAAGGCGAAGGAAGGACCTACAGTTTTACGCCGACTCCGAACGGCGATTTTTCATGGCAGAAATGCACTCGGGGGTTTGCCATTACCTGCCGAGGGGCAGTTAAGAAAAAACCTTTTTTCTATATTTTTGCGATGTTGCTTTGACCAGAGATTGAACCCAGACCCTGCGGAGTGTAAGCGCGCACTGCTTACTCCTACACCACAGCGGCCGCCATTTTCATCATTTACATAGTTTTCAATTATGCCTAGTCTATATTCTTAGTATCTTATCTTTTTTGAATGAACTAGTTCTTAAGCAAACACCTATGGCTACAGCGGAACTGCTGACTTACCGGCGTTGAGCAACTTTCCCACCTAAGCATTCGTTTTTTTACCAGTTGACAGACAGTCACGAATTGAATTTCAAAATTTATGAATGTTTCCCCATTTCTACGCAGATTCGCTATAAAACTTAAGGCTTTCGTGCGTGCAATTAGTGAGTTTTCTTGTATTGTCTTTATTAGTTTTCCACTCTGTTTAGCCGCTGCGACAGACTTCTCCGTTTGTTGTGAACTTCATTTTGCATTGATGTCAAATAACTTTGCTGCGACTATTTGCTTGCATTTCTGGTGCATTAAGTGCGTCAATGTGTATCTTATTTTCACGGTGCCTATAATTTCGGCTTCCGACCGTGACAGTGCGGAATGAGTCTGCCGTTGGTCTGCATTTACTGTACCAACCAGTGATATTCAGTTTTAAATTGTTTCTTGAAGATGTTGGGGCATGAAAATGACTTCACGGCGTGAACAAGTTCTTTTAGCCGCATTGTTGTTCCAAGCAATGGTAATAACTGTTGCTTACATCATGGAAAAGGCAAAATCCGCAGATACTTTAGAAAGGGAAATGTTGAGGGATAGCCTAATGCAGCTGCAATTGTCGGAATTGTTGCGCCTTCAGCGCTCTTTGGAAAGGCTACCTGACTTGACAGAGCAACAGGATGTTGGAACAAAGAAAGAAGAGAAACAAGTCAATGCAACTGCGGATGGGTTGGGTGTTTGCGACATTCCAAAGCCAAATAAAAACGGCACATGCGTGAGTCCGCAAGCGCTACAACTAACTGCGGAGAAGCGGTAATTATGTAGTCTCGGTTCTGTGCGATTTAACTCCTGGAACACTACGCCAATCGAGATTAAAGACATGCGTTTTGCGTTACTTTCTGGAGTGCTATATGATGAGAGTTTGCTAACATGGATACATTACTTACAATTTTTTTATTTTTGAAGGGGCTACGATTACCATCCTTGGCAACCAGAGGAAAAACCTTCTAAATTGCAAACCTTATTTCACGTTAGCATAACAGCGCTAGCCTTTCTCTCTTTTGGCGGATATCTTCTCTGCCTGATTGTGCAGGCTATAAAGAGCAAAGGTACGAGATTTTAAACTTTGCGTAACTAAAATGCTTAACGAGTTCACATTAGGTGCCACCTATTTGCATCCCGTCGCAACAACTATGGTGACCAACGGAAATGGTGGGGTTAAGAGAATAAAAATTTATCGCCGCAGTCGAAGAAGACTACCATCCACATCACAAAATATTTTCAGTCCGTCGTATGAGACTGGCAATCATGTCTATCCCGATTATTTATTTTAGTATTGAAGCCACTCTTGTACATGATTAGGGCGATGTTTATAAATAAAACAAGTAATTTGTAAGCAAAAAAAAAAACAACAAAACCGACTTCAATTCTCATATAAAAATTTAAAAGTACCGTTAATTTCTTCAGGATGCAAAGATTAGGTATAAACCAAATTAGTATGGGACCTGTGTGGCACCATCTTTCCTTTAAAAAATTAATTATAGGAATCGGTTGTGCGGTCTTACTCCTTTCTTGAAGTCGGTTAAAAACATCATAAAATAACGTAAATTTTTCTCTTGTTTGCATTTAACAGAATAAATAAAATTATAGTTTAAAAAACTAAAACCTCCCTATTATATTTGCTTTTCGTACTGTCATCAGCAGGGAACGGATTTTATGGAAATTGCCTTTTTTCTGCTAAAGAGATATACTATATTCGATTAAGAATGTCCACGATTTAGCTTTACCTGATTCCATATAAACACATTTGATGTTGCCTTTTTTTGCGTTTTTTAAGATATTTGCCTTTTTTTGCCTTTTCTACCTTTAAAAAAGTGATTATAGCATTTACAATTTTTTTTTAAGAATAAAAAATATACACATTGCCCATGCGGCTTATAGAAGCGCAGAGACCTCTTGCCAAATTGGTGTTGGAAACATTCAAAGCCGTTTTCTCAGCTAACGTAGGCTTGAAGACAATAAGGGGTGTGGATAAAATTGTAAAGGGCGAGGAAAACGCCCTTATTCCTGATAATATGAACGTTTCAAACATTCCATATTTAAATTGGGCGCCGCTTGTATCAACTTACGTCGAGCACACATTTAGTACATTCAAGGCTTTTCTTCGCGAAAATCGAATGAAAATGCTGCCAGAAAACTTCAAAATGCATCTTGTGGTTCAATGTTACTATAACTATACAGATTAAAGTTTTATGAGTTAGAAACTCGAAAGGATAAAATAGTCAAAGATTCTAAGTACACATTTTCTAGTTCATAGTTTTTCTCTTTTTACTTGTAATATAAACATTTCTAAAATAAATGTATTTTTTGATTGTTCTTCGTATTTTCTGTCTTTTTTCAGTGCCTTATTTTGCTTTTTTTGCAATACCTAGTGCCTTTTCCTGCCTTTTTCGCTATTCTGTTTTGCCTTTTTTTGCCTTTTTTGCAACACCTAGTGCCTTTTCCTGCCTTTTTCACTATTTTATTTTGCCTTTTTCAGCCTATTTCGTTATTTTATTTTGCCTTTTTTATAGGTTTTTAGGTCCTAAAAATCCGTTCCCTGGTCATCAGGTATGTAACTTGAGAATAGAAATCGCTGCATCTTTTAATAATAATAATAATAGATTGGCGCTTACACATATGTTAGTGTTTGGCCAAGCTTCTCCTCCGATTTGTGGCGTGCGCCTTGATGTTGTCACACAAAGCGGAGGGACCTACAGTTTTACGCCGACTCCGAACGGCGATTGTATTTTTATGAGAAGCTGTTTTTCATGGCAGAAATACACTCGGAGGTTTGCCATTGCCTGCCGAGGGACGACCGCTGTTAAGAAAAAACCTTTCTATATTTTTGCGATGTTGCTTTGACCAGGGTTTGAACCCAGGCATTGTGGAGTGGAAGCGCGCACTGCTTACCACTACACCACAGCGGTATGTAACTTGAGAATAGAAATCGCTGCATCTTTTAGGCGCATCAATATTACATAGTTACATCCCGAGCTAATAAAAGGGAGGTAAGAATATAAAGATCTTTAATTTTAGATTTCAAAATCGGTTTTTTATTTTAATTTTTCTGATCAAGAATAATCGTCAAATTTGGATTTTTATTTTTTCTATATCAAAAAATAATCGTTAATTTGGATATTTTTCGGTAATTTTTAACGGTTAAGCTTAGTATACAGCTCTAAAAAAATACGAAAAATTCATATAAAGTGGCGTTCAAGAAATGGATGAGAAATTTTCTTATATTTTTTTTTTTTAAACAGAAATAAAGAAAATAATACTGAGATTTATGATAAAAACTGCGTTTTATGACCGATTTAAATGTTTTATGATCTAAACAATTAAATCTGAAATATGATCGAGAAAAAAAATCCAAAAATAACGATCATTCTTGATCAAAAGAATAAGAATAACGGTTAAATTTGAGCAATTTTAACGGTTAAATTATGATTTTTATTTAGTCTGCCTGATAATCCGATAAATTGATAATTATCAAATTTTATCGGGATTTGGCGTTCGCGTACACAAAATTTTGCAAAGTAGGTGAAATTGAGAGCGCAAAGTGACAGTTGATTTTTTGGGGAAGTGGCAAATAGTCTTGTTCGTCGAGCAATAATTTTTTACGAATTTCAACGAATTTTTCAAATCGCGTTCGTGCAGACCAAAAAATTATCCATGACTCAAAAACTGAGAGCTCAAAGTGACAGTTCTCTTCGAGAGAAGTTGCATCTTTTTGCTGGAAAAATTTTTGCAAGCAAGAATTCGCAATTACGAAAAACATATGATTATGGCACATGGTTGCACTTTTTACGACGATAATTTGAATAAACAAGTTCGCTAAATTTCAAAATTTATAAACTTTAGTGATTTTCTAATGAAAAACGTAAATAAATAATTGTTTACTTAACGAATTTAGTTAATTCCAATAGTTTGAAAAGTATTAGGCTGTAAAAGCCTGTATATGTAATCGGAATGCAATCGAAACGAGAGGCCATTTAGGAAACCCGACAGTTACTACGACAAAGAAATTTAAACGTATGTTAAAGCAGGCCCGAGTAACAACAAATATACATACATGTAGATTCTGTTTTTTGTCCATATGAAATAATTTTAAAAATTCTATAAAAACTTGTATGTTTGAAATGCAACCGTGGACACCAGCTGGCAGTGGAACTTGAAAATTGCAGAAGTGCAAAAATTTGCTTGGCAGGGAATTTGATAGAATTTTTTTTTTTCTCTCAAATGTTTTGGAAGAAAGCAAATACTAATTTTCTTACATTTGCTTAGCGATGTTGCGGAAGAAAGCAAATACTAATTTTCTTACGTTTGCTTAGCGAATTGCTTTAGGCAAACTTTTAATTTGTAATCGTTACGTATTTGCTTTTTTATGCTTTTGTATGTAATAAAAATTTCGATCAGCTGTATCTAAAACTTGCAAAATTTTGTTCATTTTTCGTTCGCGTACACTTTTGGATATTTTACAAATTGAGAGAGAATCGTTCTTTACTCTCCTGCACATTGCTGCTGGATATTTTTCATTGTAGAGTTATTCGACCAACAGAGCAAGTATAAAGATGATAGCCGTTTCGGTCTCCACATAAATGACTTGATTATGTAAACATTCTTCAGTGGAAGCTTTTAGTTTATGAAAAATTGTATTTACCTTGCATTGTCATACATTTGATTTGGTCTCGGCATTCGGCCTGGTCCCACTTTCATTCCGTATACGGCATATTGATCCTCGGCAAGTCCCACTTCGCTGTTTGGTGTGAAGTGAAAAGTAGAAACAAACAAAAATTTAAAAATTTCAATGTTGTTTGCCAAACCTCTGTTCTTCGTCAATAATTGGCGCGACGACCGGTCCTCTGGTGCCGTATTGGCTGTAGTAAGGCTCCTCGTAGTTGCCTCGTGTGCTGCGCTCAGGTGAACTGGAGTAACCATCTGAAATTCACAGCAAACATTTCTTTGTTCAACCAAATGTGCATTCATAACAGTTTTTGCGCAATTGCGGATTACAAGATTACACATACAGTATAACACAAGATGTTAGTAGTTATAGAAAGAGTTTCAATATTTCGAATAAAAAGAAAATTTTAAAGTTTAAAGTTTTACAATAACACTGTGCAACAACTTCAGGTTCATTTTCTGGGGGCGGAATGATTCCCACTCAGGATGAAAGTCCAAGACTCATAGAGTAAAACCTCCAAATCTGCTAGCATTCTCAGGGCAAACCTGGAAATATCATCTTAGAAAAGAACTAGGGTTATATTTATGAGCAAAATATGTTTGTTTTTTTTTCTGTGGACTTTGACGTTGTTTGTGTAAAGATTTGTCTGAGAATACCCCTTGCTAACCCTAGAACCCTCTAGTGCACACCCAATTTTTATTTTTTTCAGACTTTGCAAAAATGGGTTAAAATGTTCCATAAAATTACAAATTACACATTTCGCGCCGATATGAATTTTAAAAGCTTTTTTCCACACTCGTTCAAAACATTCCAAACTTAATGTAGCAATAAGGAATGTTTACCTGTTAATGCAAAAAGATTTGGAGGCTACTTACTATACCTATGTATGTAAGGTTGTAGGTCTTTCATCCAGCCCCAAAAATGATGTTGCACTGTGCAATTGTAAGTTTGGTATGTATGTATGTACATAAAAGATGCAGTGTCTAATTTGTACGCGTTGGATTCGCTTCTAATCAAAATAAAAGTGAAGAAAATGCACGTCTATATGAATCCAAAGTACCTGGGATGCTATACAACTGGTCCGGGGAATAAGGAAATAAGGGCTCCATGCTACCTCTTGAGTTATGCGCCCTCAAGGGTTTCACTGGCGCTCCTACATACACGCACATAGATACAGAGTACAGTACAGTTATGGATGGTTATGGTGGATGGTAGCCATTAGTGGGCGTGAACAATTGATAATGAAGAGAATAATACACGAATACATATATACAAATGAATGGGTTGGCGTTTACTCAGTGGATGTTAGATGGAATTTACTGATATTCCTAGCCCAAATATGCAGTTACAAAAACAAAGTACATACATAAATTGAACTAAAAATTGTTGATTGGTATTCAATCAATCAGAGAAGCACATTAATAAAGCAAGCAATCACACAATTTTCGTTGGATCCCAAATAAAATTTTGCATGCTGCTAATTTTTTTGAATTTTTTTCACTAATTATGTATAATATATCTTCTTAAGGAATTGTTAAGCTTTGAGTTGACTTACCTATGGGAACTTTGGTGCGCTCGGACGAGTACATGCCGCGCGGTAAGGTCTGTGAGGCGCCTACGTAGTACGGTGCGGCCTGTTTGCCAATCTGTAATAAGAAATTATTACGTCTCGATCAGATACTTAGTTGGCAATACAGAAGCGATGAGCTAATACAAATGCTACGTTGACGATATAACGAGTATAGCTAATATGTGGACATAAAAACATACATATGCACATTAGGGTAGTCTGTAAAAATGAAATTAACAACTTTTTCAGTCTCACCCCTCAATCGGTAATACCATAAAACCATATTTCTTTCATTTAATACCCAAAATCTATACTACTAAAGTCGAGGATATCACATACATATAAATTTTGGTACCGATTGGAGTCGGTTAAGACGACTTCATAGGGTAATATGTACTGTGCCCCCTGTGCGACACGCCTTAACCGCCTCCAATTGGAACCAAAATTTATATGTGAGATCTTCGACTATAGTAGCATCGACGAAGGGGTTGAGGCTTAGGAAATCTGATGAAAAATTTGCATCGTACATTTAAGGACCACCCTAATGTATATATGTATGAATGTATGCAAAATATTTGGAAATGCAATAAATCTCATTGCCTAAGAGTGAAGAGTGATTATGAGCATATTAAAATTGCACAAATGCCGCTGCCACTGGCACTTAGCGTTTGTGCTGGGACGTGAGAATAATTTGCGTTAGCAGCCAAAATAGAAATTTTTTAGATCTCGATGGGATTATGCATTGTGTATGTCACTTTGTTTTCTTTTCTGTCAAATGCTCCAAAGCGCTGTCGAACTCTTATCGATCACGTAAATTATTTTGGCGCGCGAAACGAGCAAATCAACGATCGATTGGCGGTTGTCAGAGCAAGATCGCGCCTTGCATTTTCAATGCAATTTCACTTTCGAAGAGTTTTTCCAGACAACCGTCCGTTCCGTCGCGCAACTTCATGTATGTATGAATGTTTGTACATATGTATGTATATGTACGTAGTTAAATGCAAATATGCAGATGTACATAGCTATTATACATTTGTATGTTGTAATAATAACTTCGCAGAAACAGTGTCAGAGGAATTTGAATGCTGTCATACAACCACTTGTCCGATTCTCGCATCTTCTCCTCTCGAGCTGTCTACTTAAAACTTATTCCAAACAAATTTCCGTCTTTTGTTGCATCTTTGATGATCAGCTGCACTGCCTTCGCCATTATTCAATGCTAATGCAGTTGTTGTTTTCGAAATGCATAAAAAGTGTAAACAATCAGTCGGCAGACAGGTGCCATCAATGCTATTGCTGTCCGTCGGCAATTATCATCTAGTTCGACTGCCAATTGCTCGAGTGAGTGTTCGACACAACATAGCCGACGCTCACAAATGAGACGTTTGGCCGATGCCTCCGAGATCTTTAATGTGTTTAATGTTGAATGAATGAATGAATGAAAATTGCTAACGGTGATTGTCGCTGGCTCGGATTAGTGCTTTGTTAACGTATCCGCAGCCATTAAAGCGCTTGTTACATTGCGGGCGACGGGGATTAGCGCGTGCGCCGAGCTTGTTGTGCTACCAAACTTGTTTTCTGGCTGCGCATGTGTTCCCCCAGTTCAAGTCTCGTGGCTGTAGACGCTTCCACATGCACCGCCGCCACAGTTGATTGCCAATAAAGTTCGAGCCATCGTCGCGTGCAGACGTACTACTACGCGTAGTCAACTTGAAGTGATCGTAGTTACATAAAGAAAAGTGAATCGCCAACGCAGTCGCGAACTTTAAATGCGAAAACGAAAGTGAATCGAGTAAAGAAACTAGTGAGGAGTGAAGAAGAAAACAGAAAAATCAGGAAAGTGATTTTGTATACATATTTCTTTATGCGAAGAACTGTGTTTTAAATTCGAGTGCGCAATGGAGTGGAGTTATTTACGTGCGTATGCCTTTTCGGCAGGACTACTGTGCTTTTTATCTTTGAGCTTCGGCTGGAAGCCCATAGTGGGCGGTTCCTTTGCCACCTCCTTCAATCTGCAGCAATCTCATCCCGGGTCGGCAACCAGCGCCAAAACTCTAATGCTTGGCGGCAGTTCAGGCGAAAGCGCAGAGTACTCTTCGTCGCCGTTGTTGCCGCAGGAAGCGGCGAGCAAGGTGCTGACTGGTGTTGGAGAGGCCGTAGCGATATCGGCGCCTCTGGGGACTCACTCCGGGCTGAAATTCGAAACGGATGAGTTCGAGTATGAGCGCGAGCTATTCGGCAGTAGCGACTACAACAGGGAGGTAATTGAGATGGTCAGCTGCGATGGTGTTTTACATAGTTCTAATTCGTTACATGGTTAATATTGTTTTGGTTTTATCTATTATCTTTGAACGGGGATTCAGGATCTCTGCGCAGTCAAGAAGTACGCCTTCAATCATGATGGTACCGTTGCATATGAGAATAAGCTGCCAGATTTGAATCAGTTCACTATCTGCTTTTGGTCGCGCTACACAAATCACAGCGGGGATCACGTGCTATTAACTTATTCGGGTAAGTAGCATAAGAGAATATTATTAGAGAAGGGAGATCTGGTAAATGGATTAATTGGCTTGCGGTGGCCTGCAGTGTTGGATTTCGTGTGGCGATCGGTTTAATTTATAATTTTTTGTGTTTGGATATTTTCAAATGTTGATTGCGGTACAATTGTATGTGGACTAGCTGGAACGGCGCGTGTTGGGTGTGGCGTGACACCATTTCATTGTGGATACAGGTTTGCAGCTGTGACCCCACCAACCCGCTCTGAACCCACGTTGTCTCCACTGTACCTACGCAGACTGAGTGCGTTCATTTACGCGTTGCTATGGCTTACACGCAAGATGTGTGACGAATTCGATGTTGCGGTCGCCACCACAATCACGCCACGAAATTAGCATGCTAAAATTTCAAGAAAACAGCTGAATTCGAAATGCCAAAACGCGACCGTCAACGCTTGGCTCTGATGAATAGAAGAAAGTTATGCAACCATGTCGTTGCTATGAGCTGGGTAAAAAGTGAAAGGAAGCAAGCTTCCTGTTGTCTTCGGTATCAAAAGACTCTATGCAGCACACAAGAGAGCGCACACACAGCTTGTGGCCACACGGCAGCACTCAAGTCATGGTGCTACTTACCGACTTGTATGTAACTCCAATCTCAACTCCAGCTCGCTGCCTCGATCATTCGTAGTTGCCACAATGCTGCAACATAAGTGATGCTGTCTAAGCGTCTGGCGTCTGTATTTCGCTGCTGCAAAACTAGGTTTACATACCACACATCTCTAGTCTGTGCCAAAGTTGCATAATTGAAGTTACAGGTTTCAGCATTTGACACAATTCAACGCCGCACGGTGACCGGTAATAACGACAACGGTTGTAACAACATCATCTCATGAAGTTATGCCATTAAATGGTGTGCCATAACGGACGGGCATTTCTTGTGTGCATTATGGATTCACTATGGCACGAAACGGCGTCAAAAGTGGTCGCCACAGAGGGGCTGGGAGGCGCACGCAGTACAAGCCAATAAGCGTAAGCGTAATGCAAATTACGTGCTAATTGCAGATGAACGTCAGTCATTCGTGCGACGCTGGATGATCACTTTCTGAATGGCTAAGCAGTTGTTTATGCGAAAGTGTAAGCGATTCAATACGCATGCGTGCGCAGCCGTCACTAATCTGCAGCGAGTTTAAGGCTGCGAGGCGTACATGCGCGTTTACTGCGCTTCGCAAACATTTTCCGGTTTCTTTGTGGTCGCTTCACTCAGTTGATGAACTCTTGCGGCGTGGCAATGATTTTGAACGCAACTGAAGGTGGAAACCATGGGGCGTTCGCGACGTTTGTGGGAATTTCACAAACAAGTTTACGGCTTTGTGTGCGGTTTGATTAATATATGCGGATAATAAATTAATTAAAGCTGATAAAACGATCGCACGACGCAGAAACTTTCAATAGGCAAATCCTCGTTGAGTATGTGAGCGGATATGCCGACTTTCACATGAGCCACTATCTATGATACTTGCATGGTTTCGAACTTCGAAATTTATAAACGAAAAAAAAACATTGAAAAACTCTTTTACACTGGTTGTACCGAAAAACAGTAACGCGCTGCAGCTCTTGATTTCTCCTGTAAGTCAACTAATTACAATGGCGTGAGAATTGTTAAACGAATGAGGTAAAAAAATGCGTAAAATCTTGTATTAGAATTCTTCAAATCCCCGGCGTATATATTTGTCAATTTAATTGATTCCCATTCCGCGCGAAATTCCTTTTGTGCCGCACGAAATCGACCAAGTTTACTACAAAGCGAACATTTTTTTTTTGTTTTTTTCTTAGACCGCGTACTGCTGCATTGGCCCGATTATTTTCCCATTCCTCACAAAAATCCTTATAAGATGAACATGTTTGACCGACTTTAAATCAATTTTGTTGTCAAATTTTAATAGACGACAAGTCCAATGTATTCATGCGATCGCATTTTCCTTTTTACTTTTCGCTTCTCTATACTCTTTGCTATGGCCGTTTGCCGCCGACTACAATTGACCAACTGACCGGCTCTGCGATTCCACAAATGCCAGTTAAGGATGAACCGCGTGAATTCCAATTTTGGATTTCGAACTCAAAAAATTCCAGTTTTATTTCGATGGCCATAAAAGGTCAGCAGGTTTATAGGTAAGCACGAAAAAGGTTTCAAAATCGTTACACATTTATCATAGAGTTGTATCATACATCGCAAAGTTATGAAATTTGATTAATTCAATACGATTCGATTTGCGACTGCGGTTGCGGTTGCGCCACATTTAATTGCAGGCTCAATTATCCGTTGCGTGTGCGTCAATGGCATCATCAGTGCTCGTCATGGAATGGAAAGACGGGCGAATGGCAGGTTTGGGTGAAGTCAGAGCGCGTTGGACGTGGCTTCCACAACGCGGTGAGTTTTGAATTTGTGCTTTCTTATTCAAATTCAGCTGTGTCGCTGGAAATGCTTAGACATACGAGACTTTTGGTGTCTGAGTTTTCGACTTTGCATATTTTTTGTGCATTCGCTAATAATTTTGATAAAAAATAATCCAAAAAACCGACGTTCGTGCGCCAACAAGTGATAGTAAGTTGTCGAGTTGTCGATGACCGGTAGCTGTTGGCAAATGCAGGAAATGACGTCCAAGCAGTGGCTTTCGCTTTTGCTGCTAACCGCGAAACAGGCAAATTGGTAATATATACTGTTAACTATTGTATTCTTATTTATTTCAGTTGGTTAGTCACACAATACCCGGGAAAGGCAAATTGTTCTCGGGCGGGTTATCGCCGACGGGTGACTTGTCTCAGGGCCTCCACTTCGAGATCACATTGATACAGATCTACCATATAGCGCTGAGTGCGGGCAAGGCGCACCGCGATCACAAGCATCACCACGCTCACCACTTCGATCACGAGGGCCTGGAGTTGTCAACAACAACAAGAGCACCCCCAACTGTGAGTTAGCCAACTTCGGTAGCCACTGGGTTTTCTGATGTAAATATTTTAATTTTCTCCACTTGGTAGATAAACCGGCCATTGCCAATGCACAGCCTCTTGGCAAGCGGACAGATACCGACGCGCGTGCGTCTAAATCTCGCGCAACCAAAGCAACAGCAGTTGCTGCTGCAACCACAATCAACCCAACAGTTGCCGATGCAGCAGATGGCGGGCAGTGATAACACGATTTTCCCGCTGTCCGATCAGCAGCAGGCCGTCACCATCAACACAAACTTTGTAAACGGGCAAATCAATACCGGCTCCCGGCTGGTGTCGCAACAACTACTGGGTCATATCGCGCAGCCGAATTCGGCACTGCCATTGCGGCCGAAGACCGTGCAAACCAGCTCAACGACACGCGAATACAGCACGCTCAACAATCCTGCCAATGTGCAGTTCATCGACGAGACCGAGACACGCATCTTATTCAAGCGCCAGGCCAAAAGCAACGACACGGATGGAGCCTTTGGTCAGAAGCTGGTGCGCAAGCGAGCCGCTGACTTAGGAAAGGCGCGCGTAACTATGCTGCCATCGAAGAATCTGCGCAAGCGAGGCCTGGTATTGCTGGAGGATGGCAGTGTAGTGGAGGATCCGTTGGTAGGCAGCAGTTTGAAGTATGACGGACTAGCGGAGTTCGGCGGTCAGCAGTTCAAACACGATTTGACGTTGAAAATGAACCTTGAAGAGGAGGTTCACGAGCACGATCGCGAGCCGGCCGAAGAGGAAGTTAAGGCGGTGATGGCGCTTTGTAGTGCCTGTGACCCAGAACCATTCCAAGGTGCCATTGTGTTTGCATGGAAGGATGCCAAGGAGCAGATGGACAACGCGCTCAAGGGATTAAGTGTAGGTGGGTGTGGCAATTTTTAATTGCCACGGCGAGCATGTGAAACGGCGCTAGTCAGAAGGGTGTATTCGGAGCGCTAGTGGGGGTTGTGGCTATTACATAGGTCGGCGCATTTTCAAAACGCATTTAATTTCGAGCTTCGGTCGAACGTGCTGCCCGCGGTCGGTCGCGCTTGTATTCATTAGCTTAATTTTTAGAAAATAGCATTTTGTATTGTATTTCATGTATGTATGTCTATTTATATTTTGTATTTTATGCAATAAAAAGCTCACCTTTGATTTGTGAATATGTTGATGTTTGTAATCCGAATCGAATTCTGGTTCGCTGAAGTAACTCTGCAAAGAGGTTTTTACGTTAAAAATTTCATTTACGAATATTGATTTTCAATAGTAGATCTCACCTGGTCTTGATCCCAGTGATTTGGCGTTACTTGAGGCAGAGGCTGCGGAACGCCAGGTCCGCCGGGTAAAATTTGCGGCGGTGCAGCCACTTCTGTGGATTCAAATAATCGAAGCACCGAACGATCGCGTATTTCGCGTAAATGTGAACGTACATCTTCCAATTCGTAGAACATGTCCTTGCTGGCGTCATGTATGTATATTTTGACGTTTGGCCCCTCCAGATATGCCATGGTTAGCTGGCGAGGAAAGGAGCGCACGAACAGGGCGCGCACAGTATCGATCGAGGTGATTTCGTTTGGCAATAGGGCACGTTTCGTTTCCGACCGATATTGCAGAAACACGAGACCTGTAAGGGAGGGCAATTATGAGCAACTTTGAGCGGAAATTTGATTGTAAATCGTACTCACCTAATGGCCTCTCCAACGTTTTCGAAGGGGTTCGAACTACCGGCAAGGAAGAGCGCTGCTTGTTGCCACGCCGAAACCCAGTGCTCGCTGTTTCTACCTCGGACATAATACCTGGATCATCGTCAAATAAGGGCCCCTGATTTAAGGGCGTATAGCCACGTGGCACATTGTTCTTCAAATATAATTGGAACATGTACATATTTGCGTTTTGAAGAATTTGGAAAAAAGAACTTAAATTTTACACAAGTATGCTTGGATTTAAATAATTTTAGAAAGTTAGTGTTGGAGAAAGTTATGTAGGTCCGGGTTGAAAGAAAAATTTAATTTTTATTTATTTTTTATCGATTTTTTAATAACAGATGCTACGCTCTTTTCAATGAAATAAAACGCAGCATCCTAGCTGAATTGGTTTTTCACAAATTCACTTGAAAGATGGGTACTTTCACCAAGAAAAAAACCGCAATTCATTTGTTAACTTCGACTGTGAATTTTCTGGAAAAAATACTTTCAAGCCGTAGGGCCCTTTACTTTCCATGTGACATGTACCCAGCAAACATTTAGGTTAGAGAACGGTTAGAAAACGACTCGAATTCCAATGTGCTTCTTTAAAGTAGAAGGTTATAAGACGATTAGAGAAACTGTCGAGAATTATAACACTCTCTACAAAAAGGAGAAAGAGGTTAGATATCTAATTTTTCTAATGTTGAATTCTAATTGGCTTCTAATGTCTGGTGTTTTTCTAATCATTCTCATCTAATGTGTTTGCTGGGTTTGTATGTATGCATGTAAATATCTGTGCCCGTCAATTAAAGTAGCTTAAGTGACTTTAGAAGGTTTTACTTTGAATTAAAGGATAATCAGGTTTTCTTGAAAATTGTTTTATATTTATTAAGCTTCTATTAAAAAAACAGTTAGTTAGTTAGTTTAACGTTAAAATATTGTTTGGGAACCCAATGAAATGCTGCTTTAAAGGGAAATGGGGCCTATCTCGACTTAGGCTACTTTGATTGATAGTCACAGATACTTATGTGAATGAATTTAGGCGAATTACTTTTTTGAAAGGAAAATTTGCAACATAGATTTAAATTTTTTTTGATTTGACAAACTTTTGAATTTGTCTTCTACAAATACCTTTTTGTTCTTCTGTGCACGAGTGCTCATCTAAGTTTCGAGAAAATAAATTTTAGTTCTAAAAACTATAATTTTTTACTTTCATAAATTACCTCCAAATCCATGGCTCGTTGTTGCTGTTGTCCCTGATTCCCAGCGTACATAATCATATCGCCTCCCAGTGTATGCCGCCGCGGATCATCGCGACGCATGCCACGCCGATGATCGCTAACTAAAAATCAAAACATAGTCCAAATAATTATTTGATCTATGTATGTATGTATAAATCGACTGAATGTCAGCTCACCCTGCTCATTAGTCGGCATACGTCCTGCTTTCGATTCATTTTGCCAGTCTTCTTCTGGAAGCAATGTGTAAAACATGAATGCAGTGGGTGAAAACATTGTGGGCACCCCCACCCTATAAAACTCCCCTTTTAACAATTATGATCCGAATTTGATTACTTTCTGACTCATAACCGCAATTTCCGTGTCTGAGTAGCTCACTATTTATACGAGCTTCGAAAATTAATTGTCGTCGATTCGACTTGTCAGGCTAATCGCTAACGGCTTAGTGCTGCAGAATTTGCATTGCAAGTCCTGTCGCCTGCTGTCTGCAGTCGGCGCTTGTGACAAATTGACAAAACGTTAAAAATGACTTGCAATTTTCTCTGGAAGCTTTGCGCTACCTAGCAACTGTGTTTGCCTGACGCGAATAGACAGACAAGCGATTATCCTTGTCACCGGTGTTTACTGTCAGCTGCCCGAATACCGGCAAAATGGAGCTAACGAGTAAACAAATGCGGACACCTTCGTGCCATGGGTGTTGATTTCTAAGGACACCTTTACACTGACTACGGACTACGACGACACGGAAATGGGCAATCAGCGTGCAAATGTATCCACATGTGCACAATACACCCACACGCACACCCACACATACACGGGCACAAGCCCGCAATAAAACGTGTTTACTTATTCGGGTGCACACTGAGGGAAGTAGGTATGCATATGCAGTCTATGTAATATCCACTTACTCCAGCAGGAGTTGTTTAAATATTCACATTTATGCCCCACCCCTACCCACCTGCTTCACGTCCTTTTCGCTTCTTCTTTGATGAGCTGCTGCTGCTGCTGCTCTGGTTCGATGAACTTTTATCTTTGCTCTTCCAGCGTATCAGCATCGTGTGACCGTTCGTATGCGTTGGTTGGACTGCGGCGCCGACCGGAAAGCATTAAAAGTTGGCATTAGCATTGAGCAAGTATCAATGTTCGGATGCAGGCATATGTACATATGTATGTATGTAAGTGTGCATATGGGTATAAGTATGTAAGGATGTATGTATGTTTGTCTATGGAAGTAAAAGTGTGCAGCATGTGTACTTAGGCAAGTGGGTAAGTGCCTCTGAGTGTCTTCGGCACTTGTACGGCCAGGCCAGTTGATTAGAAGCCCTGAGCAAATATTTTCATAGCACAGACGTTGCAACGAACGCCTCTTGAATTTTATATTGAAAATTTTTTGCTCCATTTTTCGCGTGCTTTATTGGTGGCTAAGGGACAGTGCAAATATTGCACGAAGAAAACAGAGCGGCAGAAGAGAGACAACAAAAGTAAATGCGGAGAACAGCCGCTGCGCATACACCCCCCCCACCTTCTCCCAACCATCCTCACAGCAAAATTTCTGTTTGTTTATGTTTCAAAATATGGTTCGACACAGTGTGCGCCCTCGCCGCGCCGCTTGCGTCAACATACCATACAGCTATTGTGTATTTAGCCGGCATGCATGCAACGCCAAATACTCGTGCTCCGAGCGCACGCACGACGGCATTTCTCACCAAAAGGGAAATTATTTTATTTCCTTGCATTGGCATTTGGGATGGTGCGTTGAAATTTCGCGACAAGTGCACAATTTCATTGCACAGTGCCATTGGATGGGTGAAGGGAGTGCGGCGGAAGTGTGCTTTGCTGACGACAAGCGCTTTTCCATTTAGCTGACCCTGGACTGCGGAGTGCGAGGAGTTTGTGGCTGAAATAAGGAAGATATCTGTGTTCTATGCTGCTGCTGTTCGTCTGCTGTTGCTGGTTTTATGGGTGCTCCTCTGCCACATTTTAATTGACGTGTACTAAGGAATACTTCCGACTTGATTACTTCCTCATATTTGTAGGCCTAAGTAAAATATGGGAAGTACTCGAAAATGAATAATTGATGTTTAGACTAGTTTTTTTTTATCTTGTGGTTGCTCAGCAAAAACCCAAAAAAGTTGCATATACATACATATATACATATATACACACATAAGTACATATAGTGGAACTCAAAATTTGCTATATATATATAACTTTTTTCTCACTGTTAATTTCTTTTATATTAAAATGCTTTAAAATTAATCAATTTTGCAGAGAAAACACGAATAGCCACAGCATCATGAAATTGAAGCAGCACTTGAGTGCTCCGCTGCACATTCGATGGTATGACGCACATGACCAATTTTATATGCACAAAATTGAACTTTATTTACACACCTAATTAAAACTTCGCTTTGTGCTGCAGTTTTGCTATCTGCAACATTATTTTCTGCTCAACTATATTGAAAATTTTAAATATTTATGAGTATTTTCTGGACAGCGTATGAATGTGACCGCTTTTGAAAACCGTTCGATACGTTGTAATGCCAAATATTTCTGGTATATCATAAAAGAGTTTCCGCCCTAAATGTGCACAGGATTTGGGAAATTTCATTTCCGCGCCTGCGCGCTGATTATACGTAATCCCGCCTTGAACTTAGAATTCACCAAAAACCAAACCAACGTAGTGCTTCCGTGCTTCAACAAACGGAAGCAAAGTAGTTTATGTAGAAGGTTTTGGAAGTAACAGGAAACTCTTTATATATCTAAAAATCTAATTAGAACAAATAGGATTTTAAGTTAGATAACATATTTTATTTATATTCGACACCCTGTGGCAAGTGCTGCCAATAAATTCTACTGTCAGTTGTGCTGTTATGGCTGTCCGATTTCTGGCGTAGAAAATAAATAGGGAGCTCGGAAAAAATTGTGTTAAGGTGAGTTGAAAACAGAAAATTAAATGTGTGTGTTAAAATAATTAGGTAGAGGGGTCACAATACTGCTTTTTAACTATTGCCAAGTTTTTTGTTCCGAAATATGATAAAACGGCTTTGCAGAAATAATGGATTTGTGCACATTTTCTGTGGCGGTTGTGATGTAATGGCTACTTGCACTGACCGTTTGCAGTTAAATAGTGCAACTATCCGTAATGATTTCTAACAAAAAGTTGTAACTTAGATCAATGCCTCCTTCTAAACATTCTAAAAGAAATATTTTTAAATTGATTTACTTTTCAGAATGGCTGCCGTTTTCCGTGTAGGCTTTGTACGCCTGTGTGGCCGTAATGCAACTCCTGCATTGCTGAATACGCAGTCGGTGTCGCCGATGGCTTTAACGCAGAAGTGCACAATTATGGGTAAATCTATGCGTGGTGGTCCTCGCATACCAAATGCACCTCCATATCCATACAAGGAGAAGCGGTACACTGTACTCAATTCGTTATTTGATAAAACATCGAAGCGCATGGACGAAAATTCTAAAGTCATCTGTGTTGAAGGACCTATTGGCGCTGGCAAGAGCAAATTTGCCAAAGAGTTGGCTGATGAATTGGAAATGTGCTACTTTCCCGAAGTCAACTTGGACTTGATATATATCAACTCCTACGGATACGATATGCGAAAGTTAGATCCGCAGCTGCCAGAACTGTGTCGTTCCTACGATGTGACGAATTTCTGTCGTGAGCCCAATCATCCTTTGGCCGCACAGTTCCAAATTCGCATGTACATGCTGAGATATTCACAGTACATAGATGCCTTGCAACATATTCTTTCAACTGGTCAAGGTGTTGTTTTGGACCGTAGCTGTTATTCAGATTTCGTGTTCTTAGAAGCGATGCATAGAAATGGTTACATTTCTCGTGGTGCCTATTCGGTATACCACGAGATTCGTGAAAATACCATTGGAGAACTTCTTAAGCCGCATTTGGTAATCTATTTAGACTGTCCAGTCGATGCCGTAAAGGTAAGTTAATTGCGATAAGTAATACAGTAATATTTACATATGTACCTATTTAATTTTTTAATTTTTAGCAACGTATTAAAGCTCGCAACATTGACTACGAAGTCAATTCTAAAGTGTTCACCGATGCCTACTTAAAGGATATTGAAACATTCTATAAACAGCACTTCCTTAAAGATATCAGCAACCATGCAGAAATCTTAGTCTACGATTGGACTGCTGGCGGAGAGACCGAAGTTGTTGTCGAAGATATCGAACGAATTGATTTTGGACAGTTCGAAATTGATCACCATAATAAGAAAATGAAGGATTGGCGTTTCCCGCTCGAAGCGGAGTGGTGTGAGGCGCGCATTAAGTACTGTAACGAAAAGAGTACTTTGATGAATTATTTCAATGTACCACGCTACGACGTTCCGGAATTGGTGCGCGACGCTGAAAGCGGCAAAATTTGGCGCGATGTGTGGTACAACGTAAGTATTATTGTCAGCAGCATGTTCTGATAGTTTACAAAAAGATAATTTTGTTTTAATTTCAGGCGCCTGGCATGAAATATCGTCCTGGCTATAATGAAGATATGGGAGATACAGGTTTGCTTACTAAAACAACTATCGGTATCAATCAACCATTCTAAGCTGTCGCCAATTATTTGTTAGTCAAATATTAATAAAAAGAAAAGAACCGAATGAAATGAAATGCTGTATAATAAGTAGCTATGAAAAGAATGCGAAAGGTAAATAAAATCCTGTATTCAAAAATGATTTCTATCGAAAACCATGGTACTGATCTGTTCAATGTTTTTTAAAGGTTAAAAAGAAAATAATGTGTAGAATAATAAATTAAAATGCTGTTGGCGACTGTTTGTTGAACGCAGTTGTTTTTAAAATTTGAATGAATGAAATTCGCTGTGAGTTGCATACCTATACAAACTAAAATTAACACTTTCATCCTTATACAACTAAAACCACACATCTATCAAGCATTAGGAAACTAAAATTCATCAATCATAATCACCATTATCTTCGATGAGACAAGTTAAAGGTAAGTCTAAACAGCACAACTTGTTAAAAACATTTTTACAAACCAAACATTTGAGCAAATCAAACGAAATGTGTGCATAAAACACATCCGGGGAGTCTTCTTTTTATATTTTCAAGATCGTATTTCGTAAAATTCAGCGATAGCGTAAAGATGAGACCCACAATGGGGGGCGTCGCCTCTGTGTAATCTTCCATAAATATCTGAGCCATTCTTACCGTTATGTATTTGTTTGTCTATGTGTGAAGAACAATCGGTTTTATAAAGGTTTTGTAAGACCCTACTCGTAGACTGTGCTCTTATAAGGGTCTAGTGCCAGCTTTGCCTGGAGTGCATATACTATGTATACATACAAAAAAATGCTGATTGAAATTAACAAAATACAAATTTTTATTACATAGAAGCGTGGTAACCCTGAGCGAAAATATTTTCGGACCAAAGTTCTCAACAATACCTTTCATTTGATATCCATATTGTGATGTTTTAGATAAATTGTGTAGAACCGAAAATTAGTGGCAACCTTACACTATTATCCTAAGCGATAACATTTTGTATATAGGGAAAGCATTGTTTAAGAACCTTCTCTTGGTATCCGTGAATAGTAATATCTTAACTATTTTTCTAAACAAAAAATTAAATAACAAGTAAAGAAGTATAAGTTCGGGCGAAACTGAATTTCATATAACCGGCGCAGGTATCAAATATCGTCATTTCAATTTTGTTTCAACTACCTTTGCATGATAAGCAGGGGTGTTTTTCCCGATTTCAAACGTTTTCGATAATATGCTGACTTAATGAAACCATTGAACGAAGTTTGGCAAAAATCCATAAAGGGGTTACCGAAATAGACCTTAGTAGTCACAAAGTGGGCGGTGCCACGACTGTTGTAAGTATTAACTTGGAGCAAATAAGTGTCCTCAGTTTTTGAAATATCGGAGTTTTCGTATTTTTGAAATTTACCGTTATACGGGAAGGGGGTGTAATTTTAGTCCGATTTGAATAATTTTCAACAAATTGCTTTTCCGTACCAAGGTTATAAGGTGCACCATTTTTGGTTGAATTTGATGAATCGGTTACCGAGATACACATTTGTGGTCATAAGTGGGTGGCGCCACGCCCATATCCAAAAATTATAATAATCAAATTTCCTGCTAGGTGATTATTGCAATCGTCGATTTTGAGTGAATCAGCTTCAATAATTACAGTTTTCGTGTTTCCGTTATATGGGAGGTGGGTGGGGTTATTGCCCGATTTAAAAGATTTTCAACAGATTTCTTAGTTGGACCCTAAGCAAGGCCCGAACGGAGTTTGGCAGGGATTGGTGAAGCGGCTACTGAGATACAGCATTTCATCATAAGTGGGCGGGGTCACGCCCATTGTACTATAATAGTACAACACACAGGGCCATCTGAATTCGGCGTTTTATGGGCGGGAGAGAGAAGGGAGTAGAATTTTACCTCTGCAATTTCAGACCCAGAAAATTGCGGTATTACATACATATGTATATACATATGCGTTTTCGAACTGGCTGTCGAGATAGGTCGATCTTCGACTCAGTCATCGATATGTAGTAGTTGTTTTGAATTTCCAAGGCAGTGATTAAGAGCTTTCCATATTAAGGCATACTTTCCTGTCCTTATTATTTACTAAGCCCCGTTAAAGTTTTGGTAAAATCAGCAACTCTTGCACACAACTCGACATACGTACATATATTTTGGTGCTAGTCAATTGATATGCTGGCTTTGATTGCACTTTATGACGTTTAACTATTTTGGCGTCATATAATATGTATGTCATTGAGATTGCCAAGCATTATGGGATTTATCGTAGATAGTATGTAGGATATTTATCGGAGAAAATTAAAGGCAGACTTACCCTTAAAAGCCACTAAATAAATAAAACGCCACTATACGCATTAATTGGGCTTTATTATTATAACATTTTAGTATATCCATTTCTTATATTTTGATAAAACAGTAAAATATAAATAATACGCATAAAAGCATTTGCTAACTATATGCGTCCCTTCCTACATACATTCCTTTGAATATTGATTAAAATATATACAATGTGTTGGGCTTTGTGCTTAAAATGTCAGCTTAAGTTTAAACTCCATTCCAATGCTGATGAAGGAAGCTTAAACTTAACACCTTGCACGGACAATTGAATAGAATTTTCAGCTCACTTCTTATGCATAAAGCTCTTATAGAAATATTTGTTAGATGTTATAAGTGTAAGGTATGTTTTAAACCTGTGGCTTGAGTCCGACCCTCAAAGCAACGTTCATCGACTGCCAGGCGTTGAAAAATATTTCTTTAATTTTTGGTTATTAGAAACTACAACTTTAAAAAATATACAGCATTTTTTTTTTATGTTAATCCCTCATTATGCTATTTTTATTCATAAAAGTATATATATATTTATTTACGCATATTTATAATATAATCATTTTCATATGCTCCCATTGTTTTGGGTCGGAACCGGACCGGCGTGGGAAATAGCCGCTGCTAAAGTCGCGGCCACGTCTTTGCGCAAATGACACTCACGTTTCCTACGTTGTAAACTAAACTAATAACATTACGTTGACTTCGGCTTAAAAACTCCTTTGCTAATGTTTTTTAAAATACATATTTATAAAAAGAAATTTACAATAATAATTTACAACATTTCAGTCCAGCTTTTTGTGACTATTTTCGCCAAATCATCTGTCTTCTCATCGCGCACTAGCCGTCGTTTGCCGCAGCGCTTCCTCAGACAGGATTCAGTTCTTCGCGTTTGAAGTTGCGTATTGCTACTAGTAGTTGGTCTCTTGGATCCGGGCTGCTAGGTGTTGTTGCCGCGCTACCGTTAGGTGTGCGCAACGGCACGACCTTGGTCGGCGCTGGCGGTAATGGCGGTGCGATGGGCGCAGATTTTGGCCCTGACTGAGTGTTTAAAGTCGTTGTTGTGTTTGCTGTTGGACTCGGGTTCCGTTGGTTCAAATAGACGCTGGTCGATTTCTGCAGTTTAAGTTCTAGCTTGGCACTTTGAATGGGTTTCCCCGCCTTCTGATTGACGCTTATTTTTTCCCATGGTGCTTTCGGTTTTGTTACGCTCACGAAACCGTTGGAAATCGTTGTGGTGTCTTCAGTTTTTGACTCTTGTGCCCTTGGGGGCATGGGCGATGGAGTGCTGCTATCATCTTTTGCGTTCTTTTGTGTCTCCGCTTCTTTTGCGAGTATTTTTTCTTTCAGTCCAGTCTTTCGAAGTGTGTTCTGACCAAAAGGTGGCGGTGCGGCCTCAGTGTGATTATGTTTCAGCTTGCTGGCCTCCAATTGGGTGATGGATGTTGAGCGCAGCAGTGATGGGCCCACTATATTTGCCACTGGTGTACTGAACCGGTTCGTGTTGCTGCGCGGTAATGTTGACGTGTGCACTGTAGTTGCAAATGATCTTTTTGTGATTGATTCGCTTTTATTTGCTTCCGTTTCTGAATCTCCGTTGAGTAAAACCGTTGTAATGCTAGTAGACTTCCGATGTCCTATTTTTGTCGGAACTTGGTGCCGCGCGCTGTTTGTTGTTGTCGTATGCAGTTCTACATTTTCAGCTGTTACGTCCTGCAGGGGCTTAACAGTCATCGGCACACGATACTCCTTCGCGGGTATACCCATGCGCTCCGTCGGTGCAATTGCCACGGGCTTCGGAGCAACTGACGGCGGAGCATTCTCACGTTCGGCCCAGAATGCGCTCGCCGGCATTGAAAGGCGATTGCTGCGCGCCTGTGAAATTGTGTTTATTTCGAGGGCAGCCGTCGTAACTGCAGCGCTCTGACTGTCCGCATTCTTGCCACCAAAGATGTAGTCACCTTCGTTTTTGATGGACACTTGTACCTTGGGACGTTCGTTCCATGTAGAGAAATTAATGCTTGGCGGTCCGGAGTATCGGTACACTTTGGGCAGCTCCTTTGGTTTTGTGCGCTGTGTCGAGTCATTTATCGCTTCTGCCGCGTTTTCTTCGTCATTTATGTTCTTTGGTGTTTCGGCTATTGGAGCAATGTTAACGTTCTCCCCGGATATCTTTTCGATAGGCTTAGCAGTTTCCGCTGACGCCGCCTTTGATTCGCCATCACTATTACTGGCCGAACTGTTTTTGCGTGAGTTGAGAATAGTCTTAATCACCTCAGGACTCTGAAGAGAGGGCGATTCTCCAATGCTCAATTCGCCAGATGATCGTCTTCGGCTGGGACTGAAACCATTCTGTTCGATTTTGGCGAGTGATGATTGTGGCAATGGGCTTTCAGAACTAATCGAGTTTGGTGGTAGAATGGTATTAGTGATTTCTGTTGTCAGTTGTGCTTGTCTTTGCTTCGAAGCTGAATCGATTGAGTTCAAATTCGACTCATTATTTGCTGTTGCCACACCGATGATGAGTTCATCTGATGTGGGATCGATTTTCCTTTGAGTGGAGCTTGCTGTCTGTGGTTGTTTTTCTTGTGTCTGTTGTGTGATTGTCGTTATGCTAAAGTTCGATAAGGTGTTTGGTTTTGCTGCTTCAATCTTTGGTTCATCTTCCACCTTTTTGATTATTGTGTCCAAACGCTTCTCGTTAATTATCGCCGAGAGCTCATCTACGATCTCATTTAAAGGTGTGGTTGGACTTGGTAATGGACCGGTTTTATCTATAGTAATCTTCTCGTCGAGTGGTTTCGCCACCTCATTATTTGTGTTGTGAGCAACTTTAATGCCGGAAATCGATTCAAAATCCATGACGGGCCGTTCCTTGATCTTCGGAGTAATGGGCGCATCTGATGGCTTTTCACTTTCAATCCCATCCGCGAATCGTCCATCAGCGAAATTAGGCGGAGGGGATATGGGAATTGCAAAATTCCACGAAGCGCTATCAGAAAAGTTTGGAGTTGCTTCTTGCGTTGCTAGCGCTGGCGTATTACCTTCGCTGTCGGTTTGAGTCTCGGCGGCCAGAACAACGAAATCCTCCAAAGTGTGGGGTTCAGTTGGAGATTTGACTACTGTTTTTCCGAGTTTGAAATTATAAACCTTAACAATGTCGTCATCATCTGAGCTCGATTCGAACGCTGACTTTCCTTCATGTGCGGAACCTTCTGATGGCAGGCTGTCAGGTATAGGAGATGGTATCGGTTCGCCGATGCCTGAGTCGGCCTGCTTGGACAAGGCGTCATCATCGCGTTCCAAAGCGGATGTGCTTTTGAGAGCCGCTATGTGTGTGCCCAGAAAGCTAACACAATCTGCTTGTTTTGACGATGCATTATCGTCTTGATCTAAAACGGATGTGCTCTCTAGTGCGGCAATATGCGCGCCCAAGTAGCTTCGACTATCAGAGCACGGAGGCTCAGTGGAAAGGGATCGCGGCTCAGGCGTTGGTGTACGATTCAGCATTATCTTAGAAACATTTGTAGTTGGAAGCGGGGGGGAAGAGGCCTCAATAGATGTGCTGCTGCCATTTAGAAGAGTATTTGTAGTCACTCTTGGTAGGGGTTTAGGCACCTCTGCCACTGCTTCTAATGGCGAATTCGACGGCTCCAAAGAACTTGTTCCTAGAACAGGTGTGGATGATTGCAGCGGACTTGTGTTGGCTTTGGAGTCGCGGGCCGACGGTGTCGGTGAAGTCTGCTTGTTGCTGTTGTGGAGCGAACTTTTGAGTTCCAGCTCTGAATCGCTGATCATGTCCGCTGAAGGCGTGTTTGGTGTTAGAGGAGTCAATGGCGTGTCCGGAGTAGACGGCGTCATTGACTTTATGGAAATTGTATCAGAATCCGCATACATGCTGCTCCTAGATGGAGGTGCAGGTGCAGCCACCTTCTTTTTCATTTGTATCATGCGTTTGCGTGGCGATGGCTCTGGAAATTCGATAGATTGTGACAACCCTGCCGAACTAGACAAATTCTGTATGCTGCCCCCACACAGGTTGCGTGCATTCTTTTGTTGTACTTGTGTTTCCTCCAGCTCTACATCTTGTTTCGCATAACCATTCAGGCTTGACTCTATTTCCTCTTCGATGTTGGGGCTACCGATGTTTCCGTTAGAGTCGATGTCATTGGTACCGGGCTGCACCGAAAGATTCGGCGTTGATGCGAAGCGATCCTTGCGCGGCAATGAATCGTCTGAACATTCCATATTTTCATTGTTTGTGTGAGCACTGCCATTAGTCACGAGCACCGTTTTCTCCGGTATGGCAGTCTGGCTCGGCGGCCGTGGCGCAGCACGTTTCTTTCTGGGAGGAGCAGCTATTTTGTTAGGGGCCGCTGTGGTGGTGAGCGTCGCAGGCGGAGTGACCGGGGTGCGAACGCAATTCATGCCCGTCGAGTCCATCGAGTTGAGTGAATTGCTCGAGCTATAGGGACTAGTTGTCTTCGTTGTATGTTTTGAGTAGCGACTGCTGAACTCCGATGAGGACAGAGAATCGCGTATGATAGCTGTGCGGTGTAGCTTAATAATTTCGTCCGCGTTGAAATTGTCATACGACTCGGACTTGTGACATAGACGTATCTCAGAAAGGCCCACAGCGCCTATAGTTAAATCGCAGCTGTACACCTGACCGAGGTCAACTGCATAGTAAAAATAGAAATAATAAAAAATTACATGAAATGACAGATGGAGAAGTAGCACTACCTGGACTTCTAAACTCATATTTAGTTGCATCCAAGAGCTTATTTTCGCACACCAGCTCCAGCAGTTTGCTGAGTGGTACTCGCGCGCCCAGGCGAGCGACGTACAGCTGATCCTTTGGTAGGAGCACGGTGATCCGGAAGGTCTGTTCGAAAGGTGCATTGCTTGTGGCTACCGGCAGGGGTGTGATGCGGTTATATTCCAGCTGACTAGTTTCGTTGATGTTCGTCGACGAGACGGACAGACTGCTTAGGTTTGTGCTCGATTTCGACAGCTTGCCATTGGGCGTGGCTTTATCGGCTGTAAATACAGAAAATAACAGGCTTAATATATTCAACGTGGATATGGAAGAGCAACTTAGGACTCACTTTTATTCTTCTTGCCCAACCAACGATTGAGTGTGGAAAACCCATTCTTCATGTTGCTCATAATTTAAGCGTCAAGTTTGCGACCAGCGAAAAAATTTAACAAAAATATAATGTTTAAACCGTAATACGCGTACGAAGTTTATCGGTTGACGTGCCGTTATTCAGCTTGGGCACAGTGCCATAATAATATCAAGCGGTACGAATTCTAACTGCTGTTACCTAAAAATAAAGAAAAACGCAAATTTAGTCAAAAGTGGAAGGAATTTACGAGCTTGAGGCTAGAAATCTTATCAGTTATGGTTTTTTCAAGTACAAATTAAAAGAGGAAAAAATACGAATCGTACCAAGGGAAGTCATCTATGTAAGGGGGCAAACTGAATGGCGAAAAAAGGCTTCAAGGAGCTAGGGAATGGATTCTTTTTGTAGCATTTAATTAAGTTCAAAATTAAATTGAAAATTACTTATGTATATTGCATTGTTTCAAATACTCGTTCTTTGCATAATTTATATTTAGATTCTTCTTTCTACAAACTTGAAATGCTGATTAAAGGCTTGTTTTTTTTATTATCTCATCGCTCAGCAGATCTGATTAAATGCGACAGAATGGCAATTTATTACTGGATTTAATTTTAAGCTTAGTCGCAAAACAAATAGTATTGCAAACTAGTTCGTATACCTACACCAGAAAGTAAAATTCAAATTATAGCAGAGTTGGAAGCAGAACTTCCAAGTTCGTTAAAAAATCTTTGATGGTTTTTTCTTCTCTTCTAACAATAATCAAAACCGTTTTTCCGCAATTTTTGATAAAATCATGATAATCAATTCTGCGCTTAATCTTCAAATTTACACAAATTTACAATATAAAAATTAACGCATTTGTAGAATTATGTTGCTGCGAACTAGATTTTTCCAAGTCGAGTGAATCATAGAAAATATTGTCTGTGGAAAAAGGAGGTGTTAAATTAATTTGTTGACCAAAATTTTTGCGGAAAATCACTTGTTTTCGTTGAAGACTCGTTTTTTTTTTTGTGGTACATATCTACATATGCCCGTGATTTGACTATTTTGCTGTGCCCAAGGGAAATTGCGTCAAACGTCTTCGCCTTATCTATGTATGTGCCTATTTAGTAAATGAGATAAGCGCTGGAGGACGCCTTATTGCTCTCAACATTTTATCACATTTAAAAATGTCTCAGGTGCTTTCTAGCAAGTGCTGACGCAATTTAATTTCTATATCGCGCATTGCGATAGTCGCTTTGTATAAAGCAAAAAAAAAATAAAAAATAAAAATAAAAAATAAAAATCAATTAGTATTTACAGACGCGCATTCCTGTGTGTGTTGTATATTTATAAATATTAGTTAGACTGCTTCGAAAATATTTTTATGAGGTTGTTGTGCAAATTCCCAGTTCGAAGTCTGAACTTTTTTTCACTATAAACATGCAATGCAATTGCGATGGGTTTGAGAAAATTGATTGCTAATTCGAGATTTATCCACTTTGTATGCATTGAGTATTTTTTTTTTTTCATTACATATTTGTTTGCCAATAGCCTTTAATTAGTTGCATACAAATGCACACTTGAGCTGTGGATAAGTGATCGCCGCAGTTGGATTGAATGGCATTTGTGCACGACTGCCTACGCCCAAGGACGGGGCGTGATTGGGACGCGACGGGAGCGGGCTAATCGTTGGCAGCTGAATGTGATTAATCAAATTGAATAGAAACTTGCTTAGATGAGAGTATATATCTACAAACATATGTAGTTGCTTTATCGTTGCATAATCTTGTCGTTTGCTGTCGGTGCATCGTTTTGCATTTAAGAGTAGGCGATGCTGTAGGATGAAGGGGATTGTATCAACAAGTATTTGACTTTGGTGTAATTTGCTCAACAGCCTTCTGCTCAATAAGGAGCAAAAGCCTTGAGAAACTGTATATCTTTCATGAGACTACTTGCGAATTAGTAATCTTCCAATGGTTTAGAGCCCTTACAGAATAGTTTAATTACGGACACCAATAAATAATTGATTTGTTCTATCTGTATGCATGTATGTAAATAAATAATCACTTGAGCATCGTAAAACGATTCGCAACGCCATTCGATTTAAAGAGCCTGACAACCAGTCGCCATATCGGCAACAAAAAACAACAACAAAAAAAACAAGAACAGCAGCAGATTGGCAGTGAAAATGACATTCAAGTACGACTAATTGTTTTCATTTCGTACGTGTACTTCAGCCTGACAAATCGAAATACTCGTACACTTGAGTACAAGTAAAAATTCCAACACTCGACTGGCGATCGAGCAGCAAAAGCTCTAGGCGCGTCAAGCATGAAATTACATATATGCGCTTAATGACTGGGGTGCTGAATAAAGTGCTTACGTATATATGTACATACTTAGTACAAATGTATGTGCGACTCATCAATAAACTTAGAAGATGATACAATCCGGCTTGAAGCGTGACACGACTGTACTATTATGGGGTACAACTTATCGACGGAGTCCTCGCGTCCATCACTTGGCACTTGGAGCTATGGCAGTTGTTGTTATTACTGCTTTTGGCTCGCGGATTTGGCTATCTATTTTACTGTGAAATGAGCCGTCAAAAGCAGGGAGCAGCAGTTGAAGGGTGGGGGACGTTAATAGCATTGACATTCAGTGCGTGATTGCGTTTAAATACAAAATAAAATTAAATTAAGCGAATGCATGTGTGTGTGTGTGTGTGTGATTGCGGGTTGAATATATTGCGTACGCGCGGAGTTCATGAACGTGGGCCCTAGTAGCTATGAGCACGTACATCATAACGGAATGCAAACAATTTAAATTTGATTTTTTTCCATGGTTTTCATAAACTACTTTGAGCCAAAAATGTTAAGTTCAAAAAATGCGGTTAATACCACTTATGTATGAAGGTGTATGTATAAATTTGTACATACGTATGTATGTATATAGGTGTTAAAGCGATATAAGCGATAAGCGATAAGCGTTTGATATGAGAAGTTTACCATTTTTACATTTTTAAAACCATGTATGTATGTACACTGGCGGCAAGGATAATAGACTCGTCTTACTTTGAAGAGTTTTGGCTATATTTCCATGGTTTATTTTATGTTAAATATTTTTTTAAAACAGTGCGGCTAGTTATACAACAAACACCGTATAAATCCCCTTTTCAAACTTCATACAAAAATTATAAAAATTCGAAAAAATTTCACATTTTCAAACTTATTATTCACAATTTTCAGAAAAATTTTTGGTATGCAGTTCTGTAGCCCGTTCAATTTTAGTATTTAGTATTTTTACCAAATTTCACACTTTTTATTCAGAATTTTTAGAAAAATTTTTGGTAGGCAGTTTTAGTATAATAAAGTGCAAGTTTCAAGTGGGTAGAAAATACCGGTGATTTTTAATTTTTTTTTTGTTGACGATGCCAGGCATTCACTTCTATATAAAAAAGCGTGACACCGTCAGCAAAAAAAGTTCCTAAAAATCAACGATATTTTGTAGCCAATTGACACTTGGACTTTATTATACTAAAACTGAATGGGCTACAAAACTGCCTACCAAAAATTTTTCTAAAAATTCTGAATAAAAAGTTTGAAAATTTGTCGAATTTTTATAATTTTTGTTGAAAGTTTGAAAAGTGGACGTATATGATGGTTATTGTATAAAAAAAATATTAAACATAAAATAAACTAAAGAAATATAGCTGAAATTCTTAAAAGTACGGCGAGTCTATTATATCTGCCGCCCGTGTATGTACCAATAAGCACATACCTACTTTTAAGTACAACTCGCATCGCTGTCTGTGCACAAAACTATATCTGTTTTATAAAAAGAAAAAGCTCAACTAGGAATCTTTTATTTTTACCCTCACAAACACTCATCTCCCCACTCTAACCATCAGCTTTGGCTTCGTTCAATCACTGATTACTCATACGCTCTGTCGACGGAATTGTTTACCTATGCATTTATTGTAAATTATTGCCAACGTTTAAATCATATTCAATAAAATAAAATAATGCATTTGATTTTTTATTCCATGAATGACCACACGCTTGTGGAATTTTATCATTAAGCGAGTGTCATCTTTTGCTCAGCGATTGCGCAGTTGAATGAAATTTGCTAAAATTAGCTGCTGATTGTCAACATTTAAAAATATTGAGAGTTACGAGTTGTAAAGTTGTGACTTGAAGATTAAAAAAAGTAATGCAATGTATGCAAGCAAATGTATTTCACTATGAAATCGGTATTGGCGATATGTTTAAAATTTGCAATTCAATCACAGAATTTACTTAAAAATTAACATCTCCTTTTGGCTAAAAAAAAAAAACAAAAACCAGCTTGCAAAACAAACAAACGCACCTACATTATTTATATGTACACACACACATACAAACATGCTTCCGTGCTATGTATGCCCCTTTTGCTAACAATTTTCCAGCTTAATTAAGCGAAAAATAATTGCAAAATAAGGCAGTAACAATGAAAAGCGTGCGATCGCAAATAGCAGCAGACAGTAATAAAAAATCTGTATAAAAAAGCGATAACACATAGCACGCGCTGTAATTGCGCCTCCTCGCCTCATAGACGCGGTCAGGAGTCGTCGTGGCATTGCCTAGCTTTTTTTGCTACAGAAATTATATACAAACATAAAGTGTTTGTTCTTGACGATTTTGGCGCACTATTAGTGGGACAATGTCGTATGAAGAAAATGACTAGATGACTAACTTTAGTATGTATGTACATACATGTACACACTAAACACATTTTATATAAAATATTAAACGTTTTTTTTTCTGACTTTGAATTCTATTTGTACTTTTTCGCGTTTATTTACGCATTTGCTTTTTATATCTACATATATATAAACATACATATGTATGTAGGTATATTCATGCATACATATCTGTGGACTTTTGGCAAAACCACTTCTGTGCTTTCTGTAGGTTAAAAGTTAAAGTAAAAGTATTAGGTTGACCGAGCTTTGCTCGTAGTCCATATAGTGCTTTTTAAAGTTTTCAAGGTTTGGGTATCAAATAATGGTCATTTGTATAGCTTTAAAAATAATATTTTGAAAATAAATAAACAAAAATGGGCGTATGATATCTTAAAACGTAAGTCAATTTCTTTAATTAAAATTTGGGTGGCAACCCTATTTAGAAATACGCCGGAATGAAGAGTACTTATCTTGAGCATATATGTATGTACTGTGT